TGTCCAGGCCAAGACAGCTAGGAAGAAGGGCGAAAAAATGGTCAAGAACTTCGCCAAAGAAATGTTTACTCAGGCGGTATGAGAGTCTTTGTTTTGGGTTCCTGGAAGGATGAGAAGGGGGGCTGCTTACATCTGGGTGAGTTCTTCCAGTCACTCGTCAGTCGGTCGGTCAGTCATTGTGCTTACTTTGGTTGTTGCAGGTTTGACTTCAATGAGCAGCTCGGTAAGGGATCCAGCTTCATGAAAGGCAAGGACTGGCAGGCCATCCTACCAGTATGGGAAGATTTTATTGGCAATGCATTTGGTAAGTCTCTCCAGTCCTTTCAGAAAGACTTGTATTCAATCCATGTCTCCAAGACCATGATCAAGACCAGGACGCCACACTGCTCGGAGGCATCGGCGGGTCCCAAAACCATACCATGAATTCAAGCTGGACTGTTCGGGTTCGCCGATGTTGCCCGAGATAGATGATTTATCCCTCGAGACCAAGAAGGCAATGATTTGGTCATTCCTTACCATTCATTACAGTAAGCCAGATGACCAATACCCATTTTATCATCTGACGCCGGCTGGAACAGGAACGTGTTGTGGAAAGCCCAAGGTCCCAGTGCCCTGGAGCGACATCATGAAGGGGCAGTCCAGATTAATCTCCAGCACATACCTACCTGATGATACCAAGATCTTGGAGCCATCCAAAATGCTCTGCACTGATGCCAATGCAATCTTGGACTTTTGGTGGGACCGACAGGAATGATGGATGAAAAGGGCAGAATGTGTTCTCCTGTTGCCGAGGATGAATCTGATGGTGATGCCGATGATGAGAGTACCAGCGCAAGGCCGACAAGAAAGCCATTGGCGACCACAACATTGTCACTAACCTCAATTCCCAAAGGGCGGCTGATTTCCACCAAGCGAACCTACATCAGTTCGACCAAGGAAGAATGTGACAAGAGCCGATGCAGAGGCATCTCCACCAGTGGTCCAACCACGCCTGCACGGCCGCGCAAATGCTGAAGACCCGACCGGTGCCAAAGAGCTTGGAAAGCGTGCCAGAGGTTCATAAAGGACCAACCATTGGTCTCCCATCACCGAACTGCCTCCTACAGCAAAGACCATTATTTCTGTACCTCATGTAACTGAGGAATCAGATCAGTCAACTGAAGCCAGCCATGTTACCCCGCTCCTTCAGGCCCAGGTCCAACTCGCCGGGTATCGAAACTCGCCGAGGTCTGGAACACCTTGGTGCATCGCCAATGATACAGCCACCAGCATTGACTGCGGACAAGGGCTGCCAGAGATGCATCTCCTGTGGTGCAAGAGAGGCAGCCAAAGAATGTGCCCGCTACCAGAGATCGTGCACCGAGGAAGGCAAGTCGGCCAGATTTGCCCCCGGTGTTCCCTCTGATGCACCAGCAAAAGGCACCAGGAGCAATGCTGAGAATACATGAGTCACACGCACTCAGCAAAAGCCCAAGAGGTATACCGACTACATCTAATTCAGTGAACTTGGATTGGTCATTCGGTCATCGGTCAGTAAGTACACATTGTTATTGTTACATGTTACATCCTACACTACACTACACTACACTGTGCATATGTCAATGTCAGCCTGCCTGCTTTCTTCCTACCTAGCTCCAAGACAGTCAGTGGATCATCAATCTGCCTGAACAGTTTGCAGCATGTGTTGAATCTTGGCCATATCATTGGTGGCGGTAACATATTGGTTGCGGGCATTTTGATAATTTGCGATCAAGGACTGGTTGGCACGGATGATCTCCTGTGACAGCCTCGCTTTCATTATCTCCTTTACAATGGTGGTCAACATTATGACAGCAACGAGCAGGGAAGCCATTAACTTACTCAGGATGGCGCGAAAGTCTGTCCAGCCGGTTGTCGGCTCGGCGCAACAATTCCTCCCCAGCTTCAACCTGTGTTATTGTCGAGCCTTCGCTTGGTGCTGATGAGGGTGCCAGTGATGCCTGAATATCTTGACTCCCAGGTGATTCTGAGTTGTTCACCCCTGCATGTAATAGTTAGCATCATCTGTGCCGTGTCAAAACGGCCGACCGACCTGAGTTAACCGAGCCGTGGTGGGCGCTGCAGTAACATGACCTTCACGGTCACCATCTCCACCTAATTGGGCATCTCCCCAGCACATGTCAAAACCACCTGCAAATGAGTCGAAGCAACTGACACAAACCACCAATACTCACCTTTGCATCCTGCAGCCGAGGTTGCCAGTCAGTCATCCCAACACACGTCATATGGGTGGCCTACATCGGCTGTTGTCGACTGAGGGTCCTCATCCCAGCAAACATCATATGTAGCGGCAGCCAGGTGGTGTGGCAGCTTCTACAGTGATTGCAGGGACCGAGGCCTACCTGTGATGAGCTCGGCTCATCCCAACAAAGGGCATATGGACCTGCGGCTGGAGGAGTATCGGGGGTCCCAACACATATTGTAATCTAATATACCTGTAAGCAATGACTCAAGCTATGCGACTAGCACAAGACTTACCTTGGCCACCATAGTCTGTGTTGGCCGATGATGCTTCGGCCGGTGCATTGACTGGTGCATTGACGGTGGGCGCTGGATCGCTTTCGACGTCCCAGCACATCTCAAACGCTTGAATAACGATGTATTAGTACATGTCCATGAGATTGAGAATAGAAGATGACATGAACTTACTTTGACCGCTGCACTGGGGTTTGGCCGATGATGAGGTGGTCGGTGTTTCCACCGATGTCTTGGGTGCAGCTTCAGTGCTCCAGCACATATCAAAAACTAAAATTGTCAAATATTAATAAATGTCGAGTCAATATCATAAGACACTTACCTTCTTTGCCGAAATGTTTTTTTGTAAGTGCATCGGCGGTTTCCTTCCTGACTGGCATGGTTGATGGTGTGACTTTCATCCTGTTGTTGTTGGGTGCGCGAGTTGGTGGCGAACGGTTTGGCTGAAATGAGTATTTGAACCCAACAGGAAGGTTTTCCTGTGGAAATGATCGAGTCGGGCCTAACTTTGGTGGCACCCACTGGTCCCACGTGAGAAAGAAATTGCTGTTGGTTTTGATCTGCTCGTCCTGTAGTCTCCTAGCTTTGTCAGTGATATTTTCACGAGAATCCATGTACTTGCAATGGTTGTAGTTGGGAGTATATATACACAATGGATGACTAGACCACTGAGGCCACAAGTCGGCAAACCGGCGGTGTCAATTGTTGCGTCCACATTTCATTTCGGCTAATCATTTCGGCTAATCACGGCGGTGGCACAACTTTCAATTTGCATTGACTGTTGCTAAGTCCACATCAAAGGCCACAGCTAGTCATTCCCTATATAACTGTGTCGACATCCTCATCATCATCATCATCATCATCATCATCATCATCATCATCATATCATCACATCATCATCACATCATCACATCATCATCATCATCATCATCATCACATCATCATCATCATCATCGTCACCACCTCCACCACCACCATCATAATCATCATGTCTGCCCAACAATCCAACAATGCCTTGTCGGTCGCCGACAAATCATTGTGTTCACACCTCAACCGGATCAAACTGTTTCAATCAGATGGCTGGGTGGTGGTTGACCAGGCACATGAAGTTGCCAAGCTAGTAGTAAGTCTTTCTTTCTTTCTTTCTTTGCAAGATACTCACCTCTCTCAAGTCACAAGCACTCCAGCAACACGGCAGGAATGCGTTGGTCGTTCCGCCGTTGCTGCTCTCTGCAGCCACCGAGGTTCGGGCGACAATGAACATCGGTCAGGTCCCCCAATGGGAACGTGTGCGGGTGGATGATTCCTGCATGGAATCACACCCCTTCTTCCCCAAGACACAAGGGCTTGGTGAGTCTTCCTCTTTTTCAATGCACCATTTTTGCTAACATTGTGATAGCTGCACCTGCACTGGCGCCAGTGCCAACCCCACTCCCACTCCCAGTCCCAGTCCCGCCCCCAGCTCCCAAGGTGATGTCGGTCCCACCGATCGACTCACTTCCCGTCGAGGCTGCCAAGCCGACGGCCGATAAGGGGAAGCAGCCGGTTCGGGGGACTCGGCGAGCCAGGGAGGATGAGTCTGGTGAGTCGGGCGATGTCTCATGCAAGAAGCATAGGATCGTGTCGAAGGCCATCATCTCTGACACTGAAGATGATGATGGCCAGCCGGGCGGGACCATCATTGTGGTAAAGGTGCGCCTCTAATTCATTTTTTTCCTACTCTATCACTCACAGCACCTTAGCCATCTAAGGCGGCGGTGCCTCAGACTCCAGCCCCAGCCAAGAAGGTGAAGCAGGTGAGATTCACCTCATCCCCTCGGTCATCACCACTCAGAGATGTCCAGGCCGACACCAAGGAGCGCATTGGCTGACCGACGCCGAAGGGTAAGGGAAAGGAGAAGGAATGGGCTGTGACAATCGCCAAGGGTGATGTGGTGAGTTTCGCCGGTTCTATACATCACTCATTACTAACAATTAATTAGTATGATCCGCCCTGTAAGAGGTGTTCTACCCAGTTCGAATGTCTTGCTGCCCTTGGTCGCAAGGGCCAAATCACCAAGTCCTGTGCCAGGTGCTACAAGATGAAGGTGAAGTGTGACCGACCGGTACCTAACAAGCTTCCACGAATGGCCGAGCCGGTGCGGTCATCACGTCCTCGGTCAAAGGCCCCACTCGCCTCCACATCCAAACCGCAGCCCAGGGCGACAAGGGCGGCCTCCCATGCACGTCTACCACCACCTGTGGTAGAATCTGAGGACGCCATGGATGATGAGGGTGAGTCACCTGTTTTTTTGTTAAGGTAAACAATATTGAACCTCGATTTTAGATGTCGCTGTTGAGGCTGATGAAGACGTCACCATGTCTCATGCAGCCGATACTGAGCAGAAGACTGATGTCACTGTGGTGACGCCAAGTGAGACTGTTGATCGGCCAGCAGCCATGGCGTCGGCAAAAGACCTTCCTGCTGACCATTGGCAAGAGGTCACTGACGACACCCCCATCCTACCACCACCACCCCACCTGCTCCTGCGGCCAAACCCACTACCCTCGTCGGCCAAACCGACTATCCACGATCGTGTGGTCTCTCTGGCAGCTAGAGTTGCTGCCATGGAAATGGCCGACCACAACACCCTCACTAGGGTGAATGCAATGGAGCACGACTTCGACTCCCGCATCTCCTCTATGCGGGCTGAGTTTTCCGACGTCCAACTGAGCTTCAATGCCATGGTGGATGTGGTAAATGGTCTTGCCAACATGGTGGAGAAAATGAGGCAGGAACGCTCGGTCCTGAACACATCCTTCCCACCACCAGCGATTGGCCCGACCGGTGCTTCCACGGCCACAGACATGGGCATCAGATACTTGACTGGTGTGTTTGGCCCTTCGGTTGCTCCAAATGCTGATTCTGTCGCCGTCGGTCAACCCTCAGCATCTCGCCCATTCGGTCGCCCTGATGTGCAAGGCAGGACATTCACCAGTGGGCAACCATCATCTGAGTTGGTGCAGGTCGGTCCTTCATCTGCTCCCCCCATCCAATGTGATTTGAGTGTTTCATGCCCTGCTTCTACTACTTCCTCCCTCCCTTGATGCAAATATACCCTTATGTAGCACACATCAGTTAGTTAGATACTGTTGTCTACATGAATTGAATGAAATTGATTTGGCCTGGATTGAATGTGATTGATTGTGTGATTCCAAGTAGCAATTGCGCTTCGGTAATAGATTGTATTTGACCGACCATATATTTGACCGACCGTGTCTCTTACATTGCATATGACCGAGCTATTGACCGACTATCCTGTCTATCGTCACAGAGGTATATGTTGTAAGCTAGTACATGATGCATCATATTTGACCCGACATGTTTTGACCAACCGAACGACTGACCCCCTCATCTATCATGAGGCCATTACCACCGACCATGTCTCTTGTACATCATATATGACCGAGATATTGACCGATCACCCTGTCTATCTTCACAGAGGTATATGTTGTAAGCTAGTCCATGATACATCATATTTGACCTGACATGTTTTGACCAACCGACCAACCGACCAACCGACCAACCGACCAACCGACCAACCGACCAACCGACCAACCGACCAACCGACCAACCGACCAACCGACCAACCGACCAACCGACCAACCGACCAACCGACCAACCGACCAACCGACCAACCGACTGACCACCTCATCTATCATGGGGCCAGTATATTCTGTAAGCCATTCAATTACCACCGACCACGTCTCTCATACATCACATATGACCGAGCTATTGACCGACCGCCTCATACTTGACCGACATAGTCCTGACAAGTATATTTTGCACAAGTGGCTCAGGGGACAGACCCAATGTTCACATATTTGACCGACCGATTGACCGACTTCCTGAGTCTATCATGGGCAAGTATATTTGTAATACCAATCCATTGACAGAGCAATGTCCATGACACATCTATATGCTTTGGGTGTCGGCCCATTTGTATATATCGGTACCACTGCCCACTTCGGCCAACCTGTTCATATCGGGCACATATTTCATACACTACCTACCACACAATACCTACCAAATGCAATAGGAAAGTGTACACTTATCTACGATACCACACTATGGGCCCACTGTTGGTATCACATACACACTTGACATGGGCCCACCTGTATGTATCACAACAATACATTGATGGGCCCACATTGGCTGGCATGTGTAGAACATGGATATTTCAACATTAGTTGTATGTATTTATCAAGGGTAAAGTGACTGCAGTATGTGACCATGGATGTTGACACTATGTTTCCTCCTCCTGGGGAAGAGGGTTTTTCATTCAGTCATGGGGCAGAAGAGATATCATTGTATGCGGACCTGGAGCAAATCACAACTGAACGCTCAAGGTTTGTTTATCTCTCTCATTATCGTTCTCTCACTATCCTCAATTCAATGTATTGCAGACACCTCGACTTGTGCGACCACAGTGGTCGTGTAGCCCAGCAGCTTGCTGATTGGTCTACCCAATATAATATCCTTACAAATGTGCTTCTCCACTACCATCACCATCATCAAACAACAGCACCTTCACCTGCTATTGATACTTCATTCTCAATGGAAGTTGTTGATATTTTTGGCGAGTCAAAGTCTCTGAGCTCAGCATTTCATATTTTTGATGTAGCCTAGATCACAGCACCCACACTTTCAATCATGCCTCGCCTTTCATTAATGCTACCTTACTCCAACATGGCTGCATTGGCAGTTCTCCCCTTCATCCTACAGTTGCTATTACCATTCACACCCTCAATGTCTTCCGTCAGACGCACTGTGTGTGCCCACATTACAGCATCAATGCTGAAGTGAAAAGGCTTGCCTTCCTTCACAATGTAAGTCTATTCGTCTCATCAAAACAAATATTTACATAAACTAGGTGTGTTATCGGCGACAAACTTGCCGAAAAGCTATGAGTTGCCTATGACATTTACCTCAAACTTGAGCGGCACATTGAAAACCATCTTCAAACTGCCCTTGGTCATGATACACCAAATTGGCGCATGCTCAACTCATGTCCTGCATGTCAGTACAAGGTGGTGGGTGAACCACCCCTCAAGCATTCAGTCCTATGCGCCCTTGATGGTAATAACTCAGCAAAGCTTGTTGATCCAGCCATACGCCATGGCAATGAGCGCTTTGACCCAAGATGCGGCTTATCTTCCATTTGGCTCACTGAAACTTATGTAGATCAATTCAAGGATGAGGTTCAGTGTGCACATCGCACACAAAAACAATGCATCTCGCGTGATCCAGATGACCCTTGGATAGATGAACCTGACTCTGGAGACTCATCAGAGCTGAGCACTGTCTGTGTTGATCGCTGGCGAAATGCTGCCCCAGAGTCTCGTAAAAAGATGTTTCCCATCTTCAAAAAGTCTGGCATCTTTATTGCAGTGTGTTGGCATGGCTTCTTACTCACGATATGTGATATGGTGTGAAGTGGGAAGCTGTTTGTCTTTTTTTGTCTTTGTCATCTATCTGTTTGGTAACCACTTATGCAGGATGAAGTATCCAATTGCCAGCATCAGGAAACTCATGGATGTATTTGGTGATAATATCCTATATGGCTATGACATCAAGTGTGCCTTTGAAAAAATTGTTATGCGGAGCTCATTAGCAGATGATGCCAAGCGACTCAACCTTCAGGGAGTAGTTCCTGCATTTCACGGACATGCTCACAACCGCCTCTGCCAAGTAGAACACCACTCAAAGTACAAAGTCGGTGCTGGCAAAGAGGACTTTGAAACTTGCGAGTGAGTTTTTTCAGGCTCAAATGCTCTGGCTGGTAATATACGCAACATGACAGACTTCCATTGTCATCAAGCACTTGATGAGCATTTTCGGTTCCAAGATATGGATCAATATGCTGCACTATGTAAGTCATTCATTGTGAGAAGGACACTTCGCTAATGAATATCTAGCAGATTTCATCTATCAAAATTATGTTCAATCGCTAAACCTTATCTCAATGACTATGAGCTTCATCATCAATTTCCGAGTGTCACACGCTACCACACCCTTCGAAGACGACCTTCAAGACGAATTTTTATATCTTAAACATCTGGCACACAAGAAAGATGGGACTAGCACTGAAGTAGACTATGTGAAAGCTTTTATTGAGTATGAGGAGGCCCAGTAATTGTCTGTTGTTTTTTTCTATGCACTGCAACACTTAATTATGTACTCAGGGCCAGTTATGAAGCGGCACATATGGAGTTTAGCAAGCTCGATCTGCACCCCGATTTTTCAGCAAAAGACGCTGCAATCACATGCCAGCGCCACACTCATGCTGCTACCAAGTGTGATCAGAAGCTTGAAGTTGTCATGGATTACGAACGGCAGATGTCATTGGACATGCAATGGGGAGGAGACCACCCCGAGCGCTTGAAGGCACAATCACGCATCACACACCATTGTGACAATCATACCAGCGCTAGGCACGTATGAGTGTCATAGGCATATCTTGCCTTGTCTAGAGGAAAAGAGTAAGGCACTAGTCACCAGCGCTATTCAGCTCCCAAGCTATCCGCTTTGGAACCACTTTTCTCCCATAGCACGCTACCTGGTCCGATGCCTAGGTATTCCGTCCTCCCATGTCCTACCTATATCCACCTACCTCCACTGGTGCGTTATTATTCCTTAAATGTTGCTACTCATTAGTCGCAGGTCTTATTACATGTGTCCTTGTGTTCTGCAGCGCAGCATGTTTTATTACCTGTCGCTACATTGTGCCCTCACCAGTGTCACTACTATTCTCGCCTACGCATTCCCGAACTTTTATGCAGTATGGTAAAATGTCCTGTCGCACATACAGTACAGTACTTCCCTTCCCCAGACTTTGCTGGTGTCGGAGTCACTTTAGTCGCTATATCCTAGTCTTGGTGCAATTGATTCTGCTCTTGCCAAATCTCTTTGATCGCATGTTGCTTGACTTGCTTTAAGTGCACGTCACTAAAGTTCCCCCTTAAGTCTGACTTTCACATCGTCGGGATCGCTATCGGTAGTCAAGCTATAATCTAGTTGCTATCGGGCATTTCACTTGCACTGTCTTGTCTTACTCCTCACTTTCACTCCCTTTGATTTCTTCTCGCTGTCACTAGTTGGACATCACATAGCGCTATCGCATAAAACAACTTGCATAGCACTTCTCACTTATATGCACGTTTCTCTGTCGGAACTCACTTGTCGCTGATCATTACAGCGCTACTCATCGGTTTTTGGTCTTAGGTTGCTATAGGTTATTAGTCCTTTGTGTTATCGCTTCCCTTGCATATTAGTAGGGAGTTGCTTCAATAGCAGTCCTCTTGGGTCGAATACTACACTTGCGCCTATTTGGATAAGTAGCGCTAGTTTCTAACTGCCTAGTCGCTATTACTCTTTCACACCGTCTTTATCACAAGGCAGTTGATGATGTCAAGCGTTTGGTAGTTATGCGTCTACTCGAGTTGACAAAATTGCAGATGAGTGGACTAGGTATGTTTTTGATTCAAACTCTGAATTTCTTGCTATTTATATTTATATACAGGCTACAAACTGCGCACCCAGATCTCGACTGTGCTGAAGAGTTGTGCAAATGCCATCCGCAACACTCTACAAAGGTACAATAAGTATGCCACACAATTGGACCCTCCTCATCCCTTGCTGCAGTGGGAACAAATCATCAAATACTCTTTTCTAGCTGGATTTGACCTACTCTGTGAAACGGATGGTGTGGTTCAAGCCAAACATTGGGTGAATCCTGCATACCATTATGCCTCCACTCAATACTTCGAGCAACAGTGTGCTAATGAAGAAATCCGTCAGCTTAACATCGAGGTTGGACATTTACTTACGAGAATCCGCAATGACACTATCAATTATCCTCTTGCCATCTCCCACCTTACAATGGAGAATCCTCCACTGGCATCTGAGTTGCGCCATCATTGGGCACATCTGCAAGCTCTTAATACACACCACTTGGTCTGTATCAACCAAATTCAGTGCCTCTCGGGGTACACTGGGCCTATGAGTGCTGGCGTGCACGAGGGTCATATTGTACCTCCTCGGTCCCCACCTTTTGATTATCAGCCTACATTGGGGGAGGGAACAGATGAGGGTGAGGGCCACAATGATGACCAGGACTTGGCGGAGCAGCAACTCAAGCAGATACATGACTTTATCGAAGGACTTGATCATCATCTCATAGACTCAGAAATAGCCACATAGTTTTAGTTTTATTTTTGTTGTCGAATCTCTATGAATATCATTGCACTTTGCTTTATTGCGTGTCAACTAGTCTCAAGGATCTCAATGCAAAGTAGCATGTACCTAGTGTTAATTGTGCAGACTTATACATGAAATGATGCATGAGTAGTATTACTTGTGTCGCATGCACTATCCATTATGTGCAAAGCTGTATCGCATCACATGCACATTGCATTCAGTCAATTACGTGCATCATGGTGCCATCACCTACATAAACTGATCTGAGCCTCACAATTTCTACTCTACACTCTTACCATGTCATCCCAATCCAATACTTCAGCTTCAACTCAATTGCACAGATCACCTTCTGTGACCGGTTTGGAGGAAACACTAACTATGATTCCTGTACCTCCAAGTCTAACTGGAATTACAGGACTTGATGAACAATGGCCATCTGCAATCTTAACAATGCTTGCGCACAGATTTCATGATGATTGTCACAACCCTTATAACAAATTAACGCAGGGGCAGAGACTAGGACTCAAACAAAGGATATCACAACAAGAGGATAAAGAATAGCAGGTACGTCTTGGATTGCTAGCAATGAGCTAATACACAAGAGGTTTGAACTGAAGAACTACTGACTACAATGAACTACCTAAATACATATATTGAAACGGAGACTGAATCTGAGTATGAACTAACTAACCAATCATTAAATAGAAAAGGAATTGTACGATGATCTAAATATAACTACACCTATGATGTCATGAAACGTGTAACTGCTGTGCAAGGGTTCTGGACGGTTCTGATGTCACGTGACTTGATCGCTTGTGAAAGGAAATCGTAATCAGGAATATCAGAGATGAAAGTAGTGGGCGCTAGTGGAATAGAGAAGTTCAGGTTAGGGTTTGTGAAGGTTATTGGTACAGACGCTGGTTTGGGTGCTTGTAACGGGCACTTATTGGGTGTTTTACGAGTGTTCAGGAAAGAATAATGGTTTGTATTTGGAATTCGTGACAATGATGGACAACACCTACAGTATGATGAAGACAGATTCTATGCTGCAACTACAGAGCACTACCGAATGGGCACCAGCAAATATCAAAAGGCATCTGCAGAAGAGAAGATGCAGAATTGGTGAGCGTGCACTACCCATGTTGAGACAACCATGGCTCGTATATTTGATTTAGTGAGTATTTAATTAGGCGCACCATGCACATATTGATCCTATATACAGTGCACCATCCTTGACAGACTGATGGGTGGCTCAACCATTGTCGTGCATCATCCAGGCACCATACCTCCAAACATGCCCATTGTTCCTGAATCTCTCAAGGCTGATATCTACATTAACCCCAAAGTCCTTCTTGAGCACCGCAAGCTACATCCTGTGGTCGCCAAGATCACTCAACTCTTCCTTGCGAAATATGCAACTCCTCTTGCTCGAAGCTTCACGTTGTCCTGTACTAAGAAAGGATGGAGAGCAGCAGGAAGTTTGCAAACTCCTGCTAAAGGCAAAGGCAGGGCAGAGACTAGCCTATTGCCATTTATTCCACCTCCAATCACCCCATCATCTTTGCACTTCGTCCTTCCAGGCCACCCAGATGGCTCACTGGAGGTCCTCTTATTAACCGACTCCAATATCTTATCTTACGTTCCACACTATGATACTCAAATTATGTGGGTGGCGTCTCAGGTTGGTGTGCAGAGCTCTGGCAATTGTGGCCATGACAGCACTGTCAACATTAATGTCCCCATCTCCGACAATGCGGCTCTTATTACGCCAATGAAAAAGCCAAAAGTGCACTCACTTCGGGGAATGATCAAGGTAAGTAGGGTTTTTTTTAAAGAATGAAATGACTAATGCTCAATGTAGGACACTCACATCACCGTGGTTGACTCGTCGAGTGACTCTGACACTTGCCCATCTTCACCATGGTCTTATCCTAAGGTTACATTCTCAAACCAGAAGGATAAGAATTTTCGGGCGGTACCATTGGCAGCTCTACCCACCAGTATGTTCGCATCTATGCCCATGAGCCATATTACCCTTCAGGTGTCTTCAGCTCCATTGGCCAATTATTTGGTCATCATCCCTTTTGGTAATGAGACTACAACTATCTTGGAAACCCTGGGATATTGTCATATACCATATTCCCGGGTACAGATCCAAAGATCCGGATCTCAGATCCGATCCAGATCCGATGGACATATCTGTCATCCGGTCCACAGATCGATCTAATCCTTATTTCATGTCCTGTTCATATAACTCTAACTATCGTTCATCTCCTTTCGGCATTCCTGTACACCGGTATACCGGTTATCCTTTACTTCCGTTATGCTTACTGATCCGCTACACTTACTGATCCACTTTAGCTCATACTTCATTCCCGGTTATGATTCGTTATCCATCCGACTTACCAACATGCTGTACACATACTTTGCTTATATTTCGTACATAGCCTCGCGTCCTTGCTTATTGATCATTCCGTTAGTTATCCATAGTATATAAACCCTTGTACATGCGCTGTAGTAGATCAGTTCGAATATCATCTTAGATTGCACTCATTCTGTCTGGACTCTAAGTCCCTCTGTTATCCGTCCGGACTTGAGTACAATACTCTTGTCTACTTCGAGACTTAGGATTGATTCCTATAGTCTATATATCCATCTCTGTCTTCGGACAGTCCTCGCCCGTTAGCTTCTAGTTTGGATCCAATTCAGATTAGCCGTTACTATATACGTTCGATATCTGGAAGCCATAACGGATCTGTTATGAGACTTATCTGTCTCAATATACGCGATACTCTAGTACTCTGAAATAAATAAGGGGCAAGACTCGGGAAAGGGGCACAGCGCACGAGCTGAGGCCAAAGCCCTTTGGATCCGATACGACTTGAGTACGGTCTTAACAGATATCCAGACTCCTTTCACCGAGTTTGTCACCAGATCTGTGATCAACATTTGATGCAGAGATGGATTGTCAAATTAAAGGAGGAGACTAATATTTCTCAAGAAGATGCGGAGGCTATTGTGGATGCCATGTTGAAAGATTGCCAGGTCTCACTTTCATAATTTGTATTTGGTGTGGACGTGATCCTGTATATATTTTCATACTAGGATTGCTATGCAAGCTCATGCTCCCTCCCTAATTTGTTTGAACTCGACGCTGCCAAATTCACGATGAACTGGTGTGAAAAACACAACCTGACTAGGCACTTGTAAAGGTACTTAGCCAGTATATGTCTAATGCTCTGCCTATGCTGCTATACTTGCAACAAGGATGCAAGAATGTTCGACCCGAGGGAAAAGCTACTAAGAACGACTCAAGATCAAAAGACCCGAAAGAGCACTAAAGCGCGGGAATAGCACGTCGCAAGATAGAGCGCTAATGCGCGGGAAAGAGCGGAAGTCAGAAAGCGGACACTGAGTCAAAGGAGGGTAATGGATAGCGAGTGTGATCAAAGGTATTGATTGCAAGGGTAAGGAAAGTCAAATAGGGGCTATAGAGCGCAACTAAAGGGTGACTACTTCTAAGTAAAACCTAAGGGAAGGAAATACAGTCGAAGGGAAGTAATGTCGAAGTAGTCACCATAGGCTTCTTATACTAGTAAACTATACCATCTCAGACTCGGAAGGGATAGGATATACATGTAATGAGACCGTAGCACTTGTTACAAACTCGAGGCAAGGCAAATTACATACCAATGAGGTAGGATGGACAATGGATGGATTCTGACATTTCAGGTGGATCCTAGAGCGCGAGAACAGCGCGCTGGATAAGCGCTAAGCGCGGGAACAAGCACTAGATAGAGCGGACATGCACTAATGCTCCTATAGACACATTGCTGGTAGTTCTGATAGTGCTATAAGCGTGGGAATAGCGCCAGATAAGTCGCAGGAGCATGAATAGCGCTGCAGGAATGTGCACGCATAGTGCGGGAAAGTGCGGAATAGCGTCGGACAAGGGTTATTGCTGAGACAAGTGAAGACTGCTGATAGGGGAGTAGTGAATGATATGAGGGATAACTTTGGTCCACCTATTGAAGGCTTATGCAGGTATACATGCCTAGCGCCAATATGATTGTCACACCGTGTAATTCTTCATGTTTTCGACTCTGTCTGCACATGTTTCAATAAATTGGTATCACTCGCCAATATCGCCATTGCCCTTTGTATGATCCAGATGCAATTGTATCAGCAGATGAATTGTCAAATATATGTCCTGCTGAATCTCATATCAGTGACACTAGCACACAGGATGTCGAGGCACTCTTGGGTAACCCTTCACATCAGCCACCCTGGCCTTGGAAAAATATGACAATCTGGAGGCTGATATCCTGGATGGTGATGGGAAGCGATCGAAAGGCAGTGACAGAGATCAAACGTCTCGTAAACGACGTGATGAAAGCAAAGGATCTCACTAGATGATCTCGAACACTTCGATCCTAACATGCAAATGAAGCATTTCAATACGTCTGAAGATAACGACACCATGGGCATTCTGCAGCGGGACAGCTGGAAGAGCACAGATGTAAAGATTATGGTAGCATCAAGGAGAAAAATTCTAAAGGGAATGGGCATGTATTCTCTGTTTCCAGGTTATTCTACCGGCCACTAATTTCAGTCATCCAAGCTGCATTCTTGGAGCAGTCTTCAAAATGGTTCCATCTCACACCCTTCAAGCGTATCTGAAAGTCTCCCATCACAGGCCAAGAGCAATGTCTTTATGACAAGCTTTACACCTCAGATGCATGGATACAGGCCCACGACGAGCTACAGAAACAAAGAGACGATAATTGCAAACTGGAGAGAGTTATTGCAGGTCTTATGTTCTGGTCAGACGCCACTCACCTAACCCAGTTCGGGAGTGCATCAGCATGGCTGGTATACCTTTTCTTTGGAAATTTGTCAAAGTATGTCCGTTTGGATCCTAACTCTGGTGCTTGCCACACCATAGCATTTATTCCCACTGTAAGCTTTTTAGATTTCTGTCACTTGGAGCTCTATCACTGATTTGTGTCTCATGTAGCTACCAGCTTCGATCACGAGCTTTATATCCACCTTCATAAAGAGGAAGAACTTTGATGATTTACTGACTCATTGCAAGTGGGAGCTGTTCCACGCGGTCTGGCGCATCTTGCTGGATGATGAATTTGTCCATGCTTACAGATGGCATCGCGATTAAGTGCCATGATGGTGTGCATCAACATGTTTTCCTAGGATATTCACATATTCAGCAGACTACCCAGAGAAGTACATCTGCTCTCATCATTGTCTCATAACATTTTGGACATTGATTGGGTGTTGATAACTATAGAGTCCTCTTGGTGACCATACACGATAAAGGGACTTGCTCATGCCTTTGCTGTTTGACTCCAAAGTCGATGTTCAATTGCATTGGATTTTTGCGCAACATCTTGCAAAGAATGAACCGGCTATGTACATATTTTACCGAGAAAGTGTCTAAAGCCCATAATGCAATGTACATGCGTGGTGCTCCCATCAAGGGAGCCTTAGTTGAGAGCCTCTTGAAAGATGTTTCATTGGTACCTACTGTTGTAAGTATGATGCTTGCTCTCGCAATATGGAACTGATATTTATCTACTAGAATAGTTTTGTAGATCGCCTCTCACTGTTAGATTTCAATCTTTTCCCCGCCATTGTGGTCGATCTGCTGCATGAATTCGAGCTTGGAACATTGAAAGCGGTGATGATACATTTGATGTGGCTACTCTTTGCAGTTGACCCGCAGAAGATTGACATCATCAATGAAGGTATAGTGTACTTTCGACTCTAATTGATTCTTATCTTTGATGTTTCACACCCCCAGGTTTCAGTTAATACCCTCTTTTGGGAAAGGTTCCATTCAATGGTTCCCCAAGAATGTTTCGTCAATGAAACAGCAAGTAGCTTGGCATTTCGAAGATGTGCTGCAGGTAAGTCCATCCCATGCACAAATTGGATGTATTCTGACCAACTTATTCATTCCAGTGCACAATACCAGCGTTTGAGGGGCTTTTTCCAGAAGAGCATGACAATGTTGTCAGGGTGCTCCCATTCCGCATGGCAGAATGGCATGCCCTTGCAAAGATGCGCCTCCATTCGGACGACGCCCTTCAATTTCTCGACCAGTCACTTCAAAGACTGGGAACCCAACTTTGAAAGTTCAGCCAGTTTACTTGTTCGGCCTTTCGCACTATGGAACTTCCGAGTGAGGTGTCTGCACATTACAGGAGACAACACAAAGGGTTTGAATCTCAGTCCAAAATGAACACGACTAACAGAACAGGACCTCAATCAAAGTCATTCACCTTTTTACCTACAAGTTTCATGCTCTCGGTGACTACATGCAGTTGATAAGAGCGTTTGGCACCACTGATTCATATACTACCCAACTGTTACAAGAACATCGGGTCGTGTTAGGCCCCTATTCATTTTCTCTTCACCTTTGTCCTACTTTGTATTTACTACATCATTTCACTTTGAACGCACAGCTCTCCTAGATCGCTGTGCACGTTTTACTGTTACCATTGTTCCGTTCCTCTGACTCACAACCCTATGCCCTTACCGCCTGACCGGTACTTATCTCTGACTCACTTTCCCCTTTCCCCTTACCGCCCAACCGGTGCTATCTCACATATGAGTTGTTCTGACTCATCCCCTTTGCCCTTACCACTAATTCAGCAGTCCTGCCCTCAACCACTTCCTACCTATATATACCAGTAGGGTATCGCTTGTATTCTCTAACTTGAATCTACTTGTTTCTACCTGCCTATCTACTAGAAGCCTTAAGCAAGCTTCACTTCCTCATCTTAATCTCTATTGAGCTTGTTGCCCAATAGTCTTGCTAGCTCAGGAACACAGTTACAGACACGCCGTCGTAATCGTCGATAATACCTTCGTCTAGTTGACGAAGCTATTGCTGAAGAACTCTTGCTATTGAATGCTTGCTGGTGTCAGCAAGCTTAGCAAGAGCCCCTATCCAAGTTCCAGTTGCGAACTCACACCATTCATAACACCAACTAGTCAGTACATTTTTCAAGAAAATGTATATTCATGATCATTTTGGATACAGGGAGAGGTGGCACACCATCTTATCAAGAAGTTTTACCAGATGACCAACAAACAAGATGTTCCAAAGCAATTTGCAAAACATGAAAGGCGGCACACACGCCTCAGGCGGCAGCAGCAGGATCTTGAAATAGAGGAACCTATCGAGACATTGCTGGAACTTCACCACCACCTATCGGATTCATGGGTCAATGTCGTAAACCTTGCAACAATGCTCCATGATCATTCATCTGATCCAGCAGTCAAGGTAAGAGTTAGTCATTTGTGCACCTCATTTGACCGATATATATCCTAGGACTTCATTCCGAAACTCAAAAATCACATCCTATCCCATATGCTGGGTCTTGAATATGATAGTGATGAGCGCCAGTTTTCTGATTCAGATAGGAATGAGCTGTGTTTCATAGACAACCTCTCTTGGGTCCAGCAACCATGTCTTTTCCAAGTTAATTACACAACCTATGATGTCCGGTGTGACAATCATACTGGCGCTAGGCACGTATGAATGTCATAGGCATATTTGACTTGCCTAGAAGAAAAGAGTAAGACGCTAGTCACCAGCGCTATTCAGCTCCCAAGCTATCCACTTGGAACCACTTTTCTCCCATAGCGCGCTACCCCGGTCCAACGTCTAGGTGTTCCGCCCTCCCATGTCCTGCCTATGTCCACCTACCTCCGCTGGTGCATTATATTTCCTTAAATGTCGCTACTCATCAGTCGCAGGTCTTATTACATGTGTCCTCATGCTCCACAGCGCTGCATGTTCTATTACCTGTCGCTACATCATTGCCCTTGCCAGTGTCGCTACTATACTCGCCTACACATCCTGAACCCCTACACAGTATGATAAAATGACCCATCCTACATACAGTACAGTACTTCCCTTCCCCGGACCTTTGCTGGTGTCAGAGTCACTTTAGTTGCTATATCCTAGTTTTGGTGCAATCGATTCCGCTCTTGCCAAATCTCTCTGATCGCATGTCACTTGACTTGCTTCGAGTGTGCGTCGCTAAAGTTCCTTCATAAGTTTGATCTTCGCAACGTCGGGATCGCTGTCGGTAGTTGAGCTATAATCTAGTCGCTATCAGGCATTCCACTTGCACTATCATACCTTATCCCTCGCTTTCCCTTCTTTTGATTTCTTCTCGCTGTCGCTAGTTGGACGTCGCATAGCGCTATCGCATAGGACAACTTGCATAGTGCTACTTACTTATACGCACGTTTCTCTGTCGGAACTCACTTGTCGCTAGTCACTGATCACTACAGCGCTACTCATTGGTTTTTGGTCATACGTCGCTATAGGTTATTAGCCCTTCGCATCATCGCTACTCGCTACCCTTGCATATTTGAAGGGAGTTGCTTCAATAGCAGTCCTCTTGGGTCGAATATTACACTCGCGCCTATTTGGATAAGTAGCACTAGTTTCTAACCAGCCTAGTCGCTATTCCTCTTTCACACCGGCGTGATCAAGACTCCATGTGACCAGGATCTAACTGCACTGTCATGACCCTATCAAGGGAAGAAGGCAAGAATGCACACCCTTTCTGGTATGCCCTGGTATTATGTGCCTTTCACATCCGGGTATTGCATACTGGACCGCAAGCTCAAAACCATTTGTCTCAAAGTGTTGAAGTTCTTTGGATTCAATGGCTTGGAGCGGATCCTACTTATCGCTGGGGCCTTAAAGAAGCATGCCTACCCAAGGTCGGATTTGTCCCTGAGACTGATGACAATGCTTTTGGCTTCCTCGACCCTTCGCTCATCATCCGTGGCTGCCATCTTATTCCTGTCTTCTCAGAGGGGCGTTCAAGTGCTCTTCTCAGACATGGTACTTCACTCGCAAGATTTCAGCACGAAACAGATGATTGGGCATTCTTTTATGTAAATATGTAAGGAGGAATGGCCCTCGTCATACTACATTTGACACTCACTTCGCATTGTAGTTTTGCAGATCAGGATATGTTTGCACGATTTGTTGGGATTGGCATTGGACACGAGGTCCAGTATGCCTCCTCGACAATCAGGCAACATTCCAGTGAATATTAAGAAGATACTTTGAGTTATGAAGATGAGTTGCCTGACAAAGATGATGTCGACCCAGTGGAAGACAATGTTGAGGATAGTGACATCAAGGGAGATGATACTGAGGATGAAGATGGTGAGAGTGACAGCAATAGCAGTGAGGACAGTAGTAGCAGCACTGCTGAGGATGTTGATGTTGATGTCGATGAGTAGTGCTGCCGTGGTCCAGTCCCAAACCATGGTTCGAACCTGACCATTAGTCAGGTTCGTCCTTGGTTCGGTCCATGGTTCCAAATTTTGGGCGGACCAAACCAGAATGAGGTTCATGGTCCACTGTCTCCCAAATGGTTCAGACATAGGTTCAGACCTTCCTGAACCGAAGCTTCCTTGCTGCATTGGCGAGGCACACACTTATGGTCATTTTGACTTCTGGATCCTCAAGCTTTGCACCAACTTTTGCATGATTTCAAAGGCTCTACAGGACAGTTTTTGGACAGTATCTCTTCTACATGCAATGATTTCTGCAGGATTCAAGAAAACTCAAATTATTTGTGAGTCCAACTTGTGTGCATCAATGAAAGCATTGTCAACCTACACCTCTGATATAGATAACAATGGCCTTGTGGGCGCTTTTCATGATGCTCGATTGTGATTATACACTGATGCTAAGACAATATCTCGCAGTTGTTTTGTTTGGAAACAATACAGGAATACTCGTTGATAGGGCTGTACTGGTCTATCTTTATTTCGTGCCGTCACAGCATGTCCCTCAAGTGCACCGCTCAACTTCCGTGGCAAGTCGATAGAATTGTTCCTGATAAATTGACTCATAAAGAGGATAGACAGACACTGGCAAGTTCATTTTTATTGATGTAGCGTGCTGCATATTGAACATTGCCTATGAAGCTCGCTGTACTTATGGTAGTAAGTCTCCCGTATCTGGCTGTTATCAACATTAATTGACAAATTGTAAGTATTGGATCATTTTCGCCGTTCAGTGGTACATGGTTCCTGCTGCTGGCTTCCTGTAGGACAACACCAAATTTACTTCAACTGTTGTCTACAAGAGCAAAGTTTCAAGGAGCTCCTTTAGTCATGGCACAAAATCACTTGATAACAGGCACTGTTGTGAGATGCCATTTTCACCATTCTTGTTGCAGAGAGCTCTAACACAAACTTTCAGTGCGCACTTGCAACTGCATCATTTGGTCAGCTCTTTCGATCTCAGTCACATAACCTCTGATTTTTGAACACTGCAGTGTGTGGCATGAGTTGTGTCAATCCTTCATGTCCCCTCTCAATGTTCTGATATATTTTCGTCTCTGTCTTTAGTCCTAAGTGGTTTAATGTAAGGCAATCTTGTTCATTGAGCTCATATGTCTTCTCATATACTTTCAAAGAATTGTCACCCAAAACCCTGAAGTTCTATTCCATACGAAGGTCCAGTCAGCATTAATATAGTTTTGATGAGCAAGGAATTCATACTCGGATTTAGTGGACGCTAATGGTGTCCTCCACTAGTGCATTATGTGATTCTGTCATTACAGGGACAATTTGGTGGTTTTTGCAACCGGCGCGATGTCCTGCATGATTTGGGAATCATGCATGGACATGACTACTAGGTATCCCCCTAAAAGACAAAGTCTGTTAGCTTAGTCCTCAGACTAGTCAACCCATACCTTGGTATCAAACCTTGGTCCAATAGTTTCAGTTTTCCCTCAGTGATTCATGAATCCACCATGTTTTGAAGAAAAGTCATATGTGAGATGGGAATCACATAATGACCTAGTTGATATGAGAAGCAAAATGAAGGTTAAGGTATTGCCTTTCCTTTGGCTTATTCACTTTGGCTAGAGAAACCCATAGAGAAAAGTTCAAAGCCTAACAAAAACCTATCTAAAAAGCCCGCGTATTGTGTACTATTATTTGTTCCATTATTTCTGAGTTGTTTTCTCTAGTGTTTCTTTACTTTACTTTTCTATTAGGATGCTCTGACTAATCAGATGCTTCATAAAATTGTACCTACAGGGTATGATGTCATAATGATGTCATAGGACTTCACCTACACTCCTGCAGGTATTTTGGTTGAAAGATATGATATCATAGTGATGTCATAATGATGTCATGTTCCATGGAATTTGCTAGAACATTCCAATGACTCATAATGACTCATAATGACTCATAGTGACTCAGAATGATGTCATTATCCCACCATGAATATTCTGGAATGTTCTTTTGCACCTGCTAGAACATTCTTCTCCAGTTTTTGGAATATTCTTCTCACATTCTGAAGTCATTACATCACCTTTTTACTTACATAATATTCCCACACAAAATGTATATAAGGAGAGCCCATTCTCCCCCAAAAAATAGATCTCCCACTTGTTGCATTCAAGAACCTCCCACTTGAGCAAATTGAACTCTCACCTAAGAAGCTTCAGTCTGAACAAATTGCTGCTTACAAAGCCCATTTCCTTTGTAAGAACTGTCCAGACAAGTGCAGGGAAAGTGTTTCCCTTGAGATTATGTAAGTTTCTCGCGATAGAAACCCAGTTTTGTGAGACCAGTGTTCTCACTACGTAGTGTTTACTGACCAACACGAGCTTTGGTCATCGTTGTTATTTGTGAGACCAGTATTCTCACCAGGTATTTGTATACTGACCAACATGAGCTTTGGTCATTGTTGTTATTTGTGAGACCAGCGTTCTCACCAGGTATTTGTATATTGACCAACACGAGCTTTGGTCAACGTAGTCACATTTGAGACCAGCTTCTCAACAGTTAATTGTATATTCAGGAAACCAGTTCAAGTGTCTAGATGGTATATCCTAGACAATCCCATGGTTTCAATCAGAGATAATGAAGCTCTGGCTAAGTTAATCTAACTGATTGGTTTAGCGAGCCTCCCAAGAACTCACACGTTATCTACCATGAAAGAAGAAAAGTCGTAGACCGTGTTAATCGAGGACTGGCAAGAAGTCTTATCCAGTGTAATTGTGGTGTCATTACATTCTTACACATTTTCATATAAGACCCTCAGTTATTAAGACAGCGAACAGGCTACATTCGATGTGTACCTCTCTGCTATGGTTATGGTCTGACTCATACAGCTATGCATGTCAAGTTTGAGGGGTTACATGATTTATCCCCCAGCCTGTTGGACGCTGAATGATCCGATGAGTCGATGACCGATGGATCTGAGATAGGGAGGATGAGGAGCTAGAAGAGTGCGAGTGCAGCCCAAAAGAGTAATGAGCGAGCAATGTATGACATCGGCTCGCTGTGACAACTATATTTTTGCTAGGCTCGTATGAAGCTAGTATACGACTCCCGACCATACCCCATGTTGTGCAATTCACCCCTGGCCATCCCCGACACAACCCGCTGAAGATGAGGAATCGTGAGTGGGTCTATACTGAAAAATATAAGATAAGTCGCCTGCAGTAGTCCTCGAACGCGAGTAGAAGTCGGCCCAAGAGGATCTTTACTGAGTCTTTTCCTCGAGTAAATGCGAGGGGATGCGCTGAACGAGTCAGCAAGGGAATCTGCGCAAAGCGCGGGTGCGAGACGCCTTGTAAACGCGAAACGCGCGTTAACGCAACGAAAGGCGAAAGCGCGACGTAGGCGGAACAAGCGCGCTATAGGCGCGCTATAGGGGGCAGTGAAGAGGCGGAAGTAGTGCGAAGGTCTCTCAAGATTTTCTCAAGAGAGCTTGTTGCAAAAGAATAGAGAGTCGTGCAGTGGTTGTGTTGCAAATGAATAGAAATTGATTCACAGTATACACTGATGCAGGATGATGGGATGTAGTGAGTAAGTAAGTAAGTGAAAAATCTATCAGAGTCCCCATGTCTAAGGTAAATGTTCCCAGGCGCTGAGCCGAAGCGGAAGCGAAGCGAAAAAGAGTTGTTGTGTTGTAGAATAAGGAAATATGTGTAAACAGACGAGGTATATAGCTAAAGTCAGTTGAAAAGATAAAGGGAGACGCACCAGCGGATCATAGAGGGACAGGACAGGACGTGCGGAGGACAGGCAACTTGGAAAAGCGAACGCGAAGGTAAAGCGCGAAAGCACGCGCAAAGGCGCCGTAGTAACACAAAAGGCGCTATAGAGGCGCGCTATAGGCGCCAGATGCGCGGATTAGGCGGAAGCGTCGCGCATTTAGCGCGTTTAAGTCGCCTTGTCGTATATAGCGCGCGTTAGTGGAGACGAAGTGGAAATACGGCCTTTGTGAGGCTACTCGCAATGGAGTCTCTACACCGCCATCCCCGACACAACCCGATGGGCGGACCCGCTCATATACCCTGCAGACTCATCCTACCTATGTCCAGTCCTGTCGCACTTAACCCCATTAGGTGCGTAGTCGTCCATTTTCTTATTATTGATAGTATAGGCAGCGTTATTACGAGGATTCCCACTGGCCGCAGCACCTCATGTGCTTTTACATATTTAATTGGGTCCGACGATGCGCTACTATTTTTGCCTACTGTATCCCAGACTCGCATGTAGCTAGTTAAATAGGACTTTGTAGGTGATCGTACTTTACCACTCGGTAGATGGGAGAAATTCTTTGATACTAGGTCACCTCACTTAGTCCCTATCCCCTATACCTGCTGAATCTATCTGAATTCTTATCATTTCAATCTGAAGCTTAGTTGCTCATTCCCCTAAACATTCCCTTGCTCTTCCAAACCTAGTCCCGCCCATCTCCTTCCCTTTCCCTCACTTTCCTGTCCTCCCCGATCCCTGAAATGTCGGACTCGGTATTCCCTACGTCGGACTTCATCTTATAGCATCGGACTTGATCTTTCTACCTTTGGGTTTCATTCCTCATATAAGTACTGACATATTTAGACTTAACTAGACAGCAGGCCCCTTTAGGGTCGAACACTCTTGCTTGCAAGTGAAGCAGCTAGGCAGAGCTAAGACCTCATATACTGGCTAAGTACTTTTACAGGTATCTAGTCAGGTTGTGATTTCCACATCACGCTCACCAATATCAGTTATTTGACACTTACAATTTTCATCCTGAGTCCATCTGCTATATAGAGTACCGGGACTTCATAGTAGCATCTCAGTTCTTTCCAGAGACTGAGATGTAAGTGCCCTGTTTCAAGCACACCTTACAATACGCTGACAAGCCGTAGTATACTTGTTTCCTAGGTACATGGTTCAATCAATGAGTTCTTTCCAGAGACTGAGATTATACTTGTTTCCTAGCTCACCTGCTCTTTGGTCACCTCAATTCACTTGACAGCCTTGTGGCAACTTCCATGGCTATGATCGCAAGTCTTCTCATTCACATGAATCACATCCATGCAAATCATGGAAAAAATAACAATCAGAACTATTGCAGTATCAGTTCCAGGAGGGTCTTGGTGGTCGATTCTACCGCTTCACTGCATCACAGTTGTTGAAGGGAGCATATAGGAATGGGCACCTTTCTGCAGCAGTAGAGGCTGAGGGACACACAGCTTCATTGGACATGTAGCTATGAGTACAAATACTCTGTCTATGTTTTCTTTTTGCTAGCCGCAAAAAAATTTGGGTTTGGTTCGCATTCGAACTGAAAAAAAAAAACCAAACCTGACCGTTTTGAACCGTTCGCAAAGGTCCAGTTTGAAGTTCGGTGAGTCTAGTAGAACTGGACCTAGGTTCGGTTCTCGGTTCTTGCTCAACCCTCTATGAACCAGACCAAACCGGACCACAGCAGCACTATCGACAATGAGGAGTCAGACGGAGACGATGATGATGACGACGATGAGGACCTATACTACAAATTTTAATGCATTGGAAAGTTACATCGCACATACTATTACTTGTCCACCATTTGCTCTGACTTGAAGGTAGCGGGACCCCAAGGAATGATATCATTTGGATCCAAAGCTTGTGTCACAAGAACATTTCTTGGAATGCAATACTGGGACGAGAAGGGCCATCCCCCCCATTAGTGTTATTAATAATCCACCATTGTCAGACTATCCAATACTATCTTGACAGCGGGCGCAATGATGCGGGTTTGTAATTTAAATTTCCTTGAACACAGAAGTGGTAGTGCTGGATAATGATAACAAAATTTGGAGCTTGTGTTACACGGGTAGGTCTTACAAGGTAATACTCCAACGAGAAGGCAAGATTTTCTCGTTAGTGTAATCAGTGAATCACCCATGTCAGACTATCTAATACTATCTTGACAGCAAACATGATGATTCAGCATTGTAACTTAAACAAGGGCATATCACGATATGAGGTTTTCAGTGGTGCACTACGATTGGGTAGGGGTGCATGTGTGAGGGTCGTGTGTGTGTGCGGTGTGTGGTGTGCGACGTGTGCGCCCAACTTTGAGCGTCCCTAATAATTAAATCGTGCTATACTTCCCACAGCTACAATATCAAGGACTCTTCAATTCACTGCCTAGATACACGATTCTGCATACCAGAAACTTTGTATTTCCGCAAAGATCTCTTGCGAATGCTCGCATAACGCTCGCATACATAGTCAAGATCTGTTGTAGTCATCGAACACTGACCATGTCCTCCCCGACCAGTAAAGAGGAAGAGCAGACCGGGTACAAGGTGTTATACACCTGCCTGGCGGACGATGCATAATGTGACTTCCTCCGGAGTGCGGGATGTCAAGAGCGGAGATACAGGCCTGAAAATGTTTGTGTGGGTGGTGATCCCCAGTGAACATCGGACATTGCGGGAACATGTGAGAGCGTGCCACATCGTGCACCGCCAGCTGAAACTGCCCTCGCACGATCTTGACAAGAAATCCGGACGAATACACAATGCAGAAGGAGTCCATATCGTGCGTCGTCGTGCGAGAGTCGTTCAAGTTGTTTCTACACGATGTGGCACTCCCTTGCATTCCTTATGAGCGGTTTGATATTGTGCGAGAACGGTTCATATCATATTGCTTCGAGTTGTAGCTTCTAGTACAAAATATGGATACAATCCATGGAATGATATGAAACAAAGCAGTTGAAACAGAGCATGAAAATGATGGAATGAAAGTAGTCCGAACAACCCAGGCATGCAATGTGTGCGTTCAATGCAAGGTACCTGTCAACAACTGCACCTGACTGTATTCTTGACCCAGACGTTTGAGGAAACCTGAGTAAAGATTCAGATCAATACTGCAAATACACTGAAGAACACTCACCAATTGAACCTGCTTCAGACTCGTAAGACTAACAGAATCGGAGTAAGTTCAGCATGGTACTACTAGTAGTAGCAGTGAAAAAAAACGATGACATACATTGCGCTGTTGGGTATCGAGTGCATCCCAGTAGACACGAAACTCTGCTGTAGTCCCAGTCTTTCTTGACTTGCTTGAGCCAACGAAGGATGCAAAGGTCCCTGTATCAATGTCAGTACTAATGATAGCATATAAGCAGGAAAGAAATACTTACCTCCCATTTTTCTTACTGCTGGGGCGTGCCTTGCTGGCCTTCTTCGGCACTTCGGTGGGCTCGGTGGCACTGTGAGTGGGAACGCTGGAGACCGAAGTGGTGGGCTGGCCGTTTGGTATGGATGTATCAACTGAGGGGTGTGACCATGACAGTCTCGACCAGAGCCTCAGGAGACTCGCCAGCAAATCCATCGATGAGGGCATTGGGTTGGGAGATGGCAGCAGCAGATTTGAGAACTGGAGTTGTAGACTCGGATGGTGATTGCAGCACCAACGGAGACTTCTGGGGAAGAGTAAGGCCATCACTAGTGAATAAATTCAGAATTAGCATTGTGAAGAATTTAAAAAATTCGACATACAGTGGATTTTTCAGTTTGATTTGAGGTACCTGTCCAAGTATTGACTGGCAGTGGGTTTATCGCATTGTGCTGCTGACGGTGTGAGATTTGTTGAGGTAAGTTCTTCAGGTTCTGACGAAGGGGTAGTAGCACTACTGGACAAGAGCGGAGACTCGTATGTCTTGCGTCTCTTCAGTGGTATGTGTGAGATCTTCTGGCCATGGCGCTCCGCTTCTGGTTCTCAAGATTATCTCCATCTTCGTCATCGCCAGAATAAGAGCCTAGATCATCTTGATCGAGTTCCTCAGGTTTGACGCCCTTAGCTCTTGCTTTTGCTCGCCTGCAGTGCTGTTCGCCAAGCTGAATACACAGTTCTTTGCCAGTTCGTTTGCTTTCCAGTCGTTTGAGCAGAATCTGAGTTCTGGGTGTGTGCTGTACCGATAGCAATATGAAAAAGAAGGTAAGCTTGTTCAGATAAGCGTCCCCAGGATGGTGGTGCTGATATTCTTGGATGCCAACATCTCGAAGAGTCGACGCATTGTGCGACGGATAGAATCAACAGCTGTCGATGCGAGAGGATTTCCATCTTCATCTTCTAAGAAAGGGACTGAGCCACATGACTTGATCGAGCCATGTCCTTCAGTGCTGTTGCACCATATCTTCCAGTCTTCGATGTCCCAAAACTTGGTGTCATAATCATTCGGAGCTCAACAGAGGAGGTCGCGAAGGTAGGGACTGGTCGATATGTGGAGTTTGTCCATCAGCATGAGGAGGTGGAGTAAAATTGTTGGCGTCGGCATTTTCGTAGTCCCACACAATTAGCAAGCATCTGAAATGCATTCCTTACTTATAGATTAGCACCTATTCTAATATCACTCAACTCGAAACTTACTTTAGGATCGTGCATTCCGTTCGTAATTCCTAAGTTTTCCTTCTCTAATATTTCAATTCTTTGCTGTAAAGAATGTCAGTCATGGATGTCACGCATATATGAGTCATGTAACCATGAATTGGTCTGTATCACGCATATATGCGCCCTGTAGAGCGGTAAACACCAGACATGACATCTATGAATATAAATAAAACTTACTTGTGTATCTGTGGTGTGCCTGTGTGTGGCAGGAAATGAGTACCCTGAAGTGCTTGAAAAACGATTACGAGAGTCATTTTGTGAAGGAGAAATGTCCGAATTATAAGGTTGCTACCATGGGAAATTACTTGATGTCGACTGATGCAAAGGAAGATTAGGAGTATTGAAAACAGAGAAGTTTTGTGAAACTTCTAGGTGTTGTTGAGAGAGCTTCCTCGACCTAGCAAAGTTATGGATGCCACCTTCTGTGTTGCCTGACAGACATTGTGGTGGTAGGGGAAAAAGGTAAAACCTAAACAGATGTCATAGTAAGTGTCGGTAAGTTCTGATTTGTATACTACGATGTCTACATCATGTCAAGCAATATTAGGGTCAAATAAAGTTCTTGTATTGAAGGAACGACAGACGAGTGCTGTATAAGGGTCATAAAACTAGTTTCTCTCCTCAGCTTCCATTTCCCAGTTGGTCTACCTCATCTTCTTGATCCTGCTCAACACCAAATTGATAAACTATCGAGTCCAGGACGCTCAAGAACAAAAAAGCGATCCTCGATGACTCCAGATGGTAGAGTAGGACGGTGCAGGAATCATTGAGACAACAGATTTGATAGAGGTGACATCAACAACACAGAGTCCTTCATTGCCAAGGTATTTGCATGAAAGCACAGTTTGATTTGAAAGCTGAACAAGGTCAGCATCTGGAGCGGAGAAGACTGAGATTACAGCAATATTTGCATCACGCCATTCACCAATATTCTCCGTAGCAATTGCAACCTGTGTGAAGTACTGGACTTCTGCGAAGCGGACAGTCCCATCAATAATAACCTGTATACTACAATCAGTACATGCTATGTGAAGTACAGTTAACACATACTTTGATGTGACGTGCAATGCGCAATTTTTCAAGTGGCCGTTCTGATTCACGCCAGGCAGTGCATGCAATTTGACCACATGGAAGTCGGAGTCGAGCCCAACGATGCATTTGGGGGAGTGGTGCATGGACAAAATCTTCGAGGAGGGCTACATGAATTGCTGGTGGACGATATGGTCGCTTTTCCCTTATTCGGAGGAGGACATACCCATTGCCGAGTTCTTGATGTCCACGTGGAAGAACATTGTCAGGGGGAGCTAAGAATGGCAGTATGGACTTGAGTGCATTTGCTTGGCATCGTCGGACAGCCTCCATTGAAAGGTTTGCGTATGGGTTTGAAGGCTGTCGAATTTGTTGATCCAAGGTTGCCAATGGTCCGTTCCATCGTCCACTGTGCATAACACACTGGAGGGCCTTTCGTATGGTTTCGCGGATGAGATGATTGACCTGGTGTACACATGGTCGGATAAAATGAATGTGATCATGACGACGCTGGTAATACAACTGCTCGAATTCAGTTTCCCACTCGCCAAGTAGCAATTGAGCCTCTCGAAGCTCGTTTTGTGAGATACTGTGCTGACAGACAATGCGAATCCCTCGTACGAGCTTGCAGAAATTTAGCCATATGTCTTGTGGAAGAATGGTATGCAAGAGCGCAGGTGCAAGGCCGAAAATGTAAAGCTGGAATTCCCAAGTTTTATACTGTGTGTTGAGTTTCTCTGCTGGATTGCTGAGGCGGACGATCAAATGAGCCAGGTATGTGGTAGGTTGTTGCACCAACAATTGCACCATGCTCAGTCCAAGCATCGTCGTCACGAAATATGGCCCAACACCAAGTACGAACATCATCCGAAGTGTTCGCACTTGATCGTGCCTCGCCATAAGCTTAGAATTAAATCTGAAATGTTTGCAATTAAATGCATAACATCGGTGGTCAGACAATCAGGGATTCCGAGAACATGTGCAGGGTTGAGGCCAAGTAAAAGACTGGGTTTGACGATACCGGTTTCGGTTCTTGCCTTCTCGAATTGTGTTTGATTCAGGAGAACTGACAAGATGACTGAAGATTTGTGGAATAGGAACCCGAACCAGTGGCAGGGAGATTGAAAACATCGACATCATCATGACTGCACCCTCGAACAGTATAGTTCAAGGGCTTAAGGAGGACAGGAAAGTAATGAGAGCCTTGGGGGTTTGCGACGGCCAATAAGTCCACAGTAGACTCGACAACCATTTCTACCACTATGGCCCACCATACCATCAAAATGGACAAGGCCAAGAGCATCAGCTGTCGGAAGAGCAAGGAATGGGTGCAGAAGTGAAATTTATGTTACAGAGATGCATCCCAAATGCGAAGGCCTTCATTCTGTAGTGATGCAAGGTGATGAAAACCTGGAAACAAGAATGAGTCAAAGTTTTTTGGGTTTTTGGGTCCAGGGATTACTCTGCCAGGAAGAACATACTGTTTCTTGTAGCGGCGGCTGGGGTGATGGTCGAGAATTACCCAAATGTAGATCCAACAAGTCAGAAATTTTGCTTTGATAGAGCTGAGCACCGTCCATTGAGATCATAAGAACTGTGTCGATTCTCGTTGATGCGACCCTGCATGACAGCTTCAAGGTAGTTACTGCTGCATATGAAATCATCAATGATGTGGAGTTCGCCTGTCGTGCTGTTGCAAGTACTGAAAAATTGCAGCTGTACGTTCACGACTGATAGTGCATGTGTCCCTGCACTCTCGGGATCACGCCAAAGTGCTTGTAACTGTGGTCCCAGGGGAATGGTATGAAACTCGCGAACAGGAACCTGTTTGCCTGTTGCTTCAAGTTTCAGCTGGTCATATCGGTGTGAGTCACAGAACGGGCACTGGTCGAGATCAGAAAAGGGACCTGGTGAATGCGATACAAGTGTTTAAACACATGTGGTGTTTGATTGAGTCAATACCACTAAGTTCTGCGACGAGGCGTTCGACACCACGATAAGATGGGATATCTTCCGCTCCAGGAAAACTTCTTGCTGCAGAATTCGGCAATCCCCTTATATGCAGCCTGAGCTGCATGTTCAAGATGAAAGTACATCTCGATACCATGATGAATAATTGGACTTGCGATACGAGGTGGCTGCTGAGGCGGATTTCGCAGTTTCTCAAGAGCTTCAGGTGTAAGTTTTGCAACTGGGTCATCAAGAGATGCTGCACGAAGCGCTTGAATAAATGAGAAAGCTTGGTGAAATTTTGGGAGCCGAGAGAGCTGCTCAAGCTCATCAATATCAATGCCAGGAGGGTTGGGTGGCTGTGGTTGGTTTGCAGCGGGCTCGTCATTTGGTTGATGCAGAGGCTCGTCATTTGGTAGATGTGGAGGCTCGTCGTTTTGAGGCTGCAGAGGCTTGTCATTTGGTGGATGTGGAGGCTCGTTGTCTCGAGGCTGCAGGTTCTCGTCATTTGGTGGATGCGGAGGCTCGTCGTTTTGAGGCTGATGAGGCTCGTCATTTGGTGGATGCGGAGGCTCGTCATTTTGAGGCTGCAGAGGCTCGTCGTTTTGAGGCTGCATGTTCTCATTCATTCGACAGAGACATAGGCTCGTCATTTCAATGCTGCATAAGCTCATTAGTACTATGGCCATTGAATAAAATAACATACATACATGTGGACTGGCCGTGCGAGTGCGTTTTCCAGGAGGAGCATGAGTTGGACTGGCACACCGCTTGCTCAGGTATTTACGAATCAGCTGGATGGCCTCAGGATCATCCTGTGCATTAATGATTTGCTTGCGTTCCTCGTCGGTCTCTGCTTCATGCAGGTGGTCATAGTAAGTAGTGCGCCCGACTTGCACACGTCTCCCTCTGTGTCATCGACAGACACACCAATATAAGTTGGACATAGTATCACTCGTATAGATCTAGTTTTGGACCGAGAATGATTCCATTGAGAAAACAAAGTCTTGTTGAATTGGCTAGTATATGTACCTAGTAGATATAGGCCTAGTACTAAGAAGGATCAGTAAGTCATAGGCATCGACTAAGCCAGAGTATAGCAGTCGCCGGAATTGTACTTACCTGGGTGAAGTGCACAACCTGAGTGCAATTGAAGATGCGAGTGCAATGTGATTGCAATGCAAAGTGTTCGCGAAATCCGTGTAGTTGCGACACAAATGCGAAGGGAATGCAGAGTTCATGCAAGGTGCATGCGTTTGCATGCGCTGCACTCGCAAGAAAACAGGCGTCCATTGGTTATCAACTCTATCTACACCATTTGGCACTTTGCGTAATACTCTCGCACGCTCTCACACGCTCCCGCAATGTCCGATGTTCACTGGGGGTGATCTATTCACCCAAAACACAAAATTTGCGACCGGCGGATACCATGGGGATGTAACAAAAATCTGGAATGTAAAGGTAGGCAAGCTGCTTGCCACATTCAAATACGACGTCACGACGCTCCTGTGCATGCCGCCCGCCTGATCTTATACCCTTTTCACATCTTGTGTATGTCAATTGGCCTTCCATGATCATGTCCTTCCTTACCCCATCTGGCCAGATTATGCGCTTCCGCTGCAGAAGTTGATGTGATTTGAACTAGAAGCAATAGACACATCCGGACTATAGGAGACGCATGACCGAGACGCACGACCGAGACGCATAATCAACGCACAGGCGCCGATTTATTACCCCCCCGTGGTTATAAGGACGCTTGCATCATATACGGTTTGCCAAACCACTGCTCGAATCATGGCCCCTGCAGTTAATGGTCAGCTTGCTATCCTCGTCGGCATTCCTCTGTCCTTTGTCGCGGTCACGGCATTTATGCGGTTGATCAAGAAGCGACAGAATAACCATTCTCTTCCTCCTGGCCCAGTGCCGCTCCCACTGTTAGGGAACGTCTTATCTATTGACGCTAAGGAGCCTTGGCTGACTTATACCGAATGGGGTGCTATGTATGGTACGTGAACAGATAGTATAGGGTATATGTGGTGCAAATCATTACATCAGGGGACTTGATCTTCGTGCGAAATCTAGACGAGGACATAGTCGTGATCAATTCTCAGCATATCGCAGAAGACTTATTGGACAAGCGTTCTCGTATTTACTCCGATCGACCACACCTAGCTACACTCGAGCCGTGCGTGCTTTCAGTATTCTTCTATTCAACCAGTCTGAGGTTCTTGCAGATATGGTTTATCGATCAACTTTGCATTCATAGCTTATGGTGATGAATGGCGTCTCTGCCGACGACTCTTCCACCAAACTTTCCGTCCTGAATCTGCATTGAAATTTTACCCAATGCAGATCAGACGAGCTCGTGAGATGGTCGTCAACTTAGTCGATGACCCTCAAAACTATTATGACCACTTCGCAACGTCAGTAAATGATTTTTACCAATTGAACGATTATTTACTTGTTTACAGATTCTCGTTATCTGTTGTGATGTCAACTGTATATGACTATAATATCAGTGCTCGTGACGATCCTGTGGTGCAGACTGTGATAAAGGCATTGGTTCCGGGCTTGACCTTGTTGACCCCAGAGAGAGCACTGATGCTTAAAACCTTCCCCTTCTGTGAGCTCAACTCTCCCAGACGAGAAAACATTAACATAACATGCACTTTTAGTACTGAAGTTACCTGACTGGTGCTGGGGATCCTCGATTAAGCGTGATGCTCGAACTTCGACCGAACGCGTCAATCAAATGGCCGACGTGCCACTCCAATATGTGCACCAGCACATGGTGGGTATTTTTTTTTTTTTGGTTTCAGACATTGATTTGATTTTTGCCAAGGCCGACAGCTCGTTCGACGTTCAATCTTCAATGGTTGCAGAAAATTTGCGACGGATGGAGATGCAAGAGGAGGCATTCAAACCTGCATTCAAGAATGCCTTGAGGAAAGCAGCTACTACCGCTATTATAGGTAAGTAAGCTTTTTTACAAGCAACATTATGCTCTCGACATACATCAATATCACACAGCTTCGTATGAGACGGTAAGTGGATAACTCCGTCGTGTTGTCCGCTACTTATCATCGTTACAGACTGCGGCAACTGCGATGGTCTTTGTTTTGGCCATGGTGTTATATCCAGACGTTCAGAAACGCGCACAAGCAGAAATTGACTCGGTGATTGGAAGAGATCGGCTGCCAACATTCGAGGACAGAGCATCACTACCCTACATTGATGCAGTTGTGCGGGAAACTTTCCGATGGCAGCCTGTTACACCCATTGGTATTCTTCTACGCCAAGTGATCTGGTCTGTACTGAAGATGATCTCATAGGCGTACCGCATGCTACCTCGATCGATGACATATACAATGGCTATTTCATTCCAAAAGGTCCGCTGTTTTTGTCCCACCAACAATAATCATTTATAATATATCGTACATCAGGCGCAATCATCGCATACAACACATGGTCCGATATGTTCTTCCCAGCTTTCGTCATACTAACTTGATTGCAGGGGCGTTACACGGGATGAAAAGCGGTACCCCGATGCATCTCGTTTTATGCCAGAGAGATTCATCGATGTTAATGGTGCGTTAACAAGTGACGACCCCGCACAATACATTTTCGGCCTTGGCCGGCGTATATGTCCAGGTTAATTAAGTTATTTTAATCCTACAAAAGATTCGCTGACGGAGACTTTAATCAGGGCGGTATACTGCTGATGCCTCCTCGTGGTGCTCCATTGCGACCATGTTGGCCACATTGCATATTACTTCTGCCAAAGACGACCAAGGCAAAGTAATCAGCTTCACCCCCAAGTTCATCCCCGGTGTGGTTCGGTACTTGAGTTCCCCGCAGTATTCTATTTTCTCGTTGCTAACAGTTCCGTTACTACAGCTGTCCTGAGGTCTTCCCTTGCAGTATTTCGGCACGGTCTCACATTCATTCTGACGATGTGGATGGTTGGCGAACCGCCGAGTTTTAAAAGAAGGGATTTCCCTATCTATGGTTTGATTGAGCCACTAGAGGAGTAGTCGATTGAGTATGTATTTTCTGTATACTAGGTCAGCAGACGCGATGAACAGAAATGTGTTATATAGGCTCCAATCACCCAGCGTGTCTAGTTGTTGTATCGAGGATCCTGAGACGTCTTGGTGACGGCGTGCCAGAATATAACGCCCTGCGTCATATGTATTTCATGTCCGACATGCCCGACTAGTCCCCATTGAACGACTGCAAGCAACAACCGTATCCACAGGTGCATAAGTGTGTGACGTCAGCGCACCACTCGTACCTCGCTGCTGCTCCCAAAGTGGGGGATGGGTAATACGGATGTCCTACTAGAGTCAGACTCAGGTTCATCAAAACAGTTCAGGAACGATTCCTCCCCTATGAGTGTCGTTGATACCGCCGGATATTTGATAGATGAGCCACAGAGAATTTTGAATTTCATATTTTCATGAAATGCATAGGACCTGATCAATCCCGGTGCTTGTCAAAGATACCGCTATTTGTCGGAAACCTGAATCAGGTGACCATAGGAATGGAATGCATCCAGCATGCTCCAACAGATTACGGAGTACCCTGACCGCAGCCCCAATGAAGCCTCGATCAGTAAGCTTAATCAGGAACTGCGCGGTGCGCTCACAAAATTTGAATACAAAGCGAGCTTTGATGAAAGGCTAGGCTTCCCAACTTGGAAGTTTGAAGGTTTATGGAAGTTACCACTGGATGCAGGAGATGGAAACTCGCTATAAAAAACTCAATAATTCGCTGTACGAAGACCATCTGCACACAGATAATCTCTCGACTTCAAGAAGAACATGGTTGCTTAGGGTACACAGGCTGAGTCTGGATTTTCTGTGCTAGAAAAACGGGATGATGATCATTGGGATGAATCAGAACTGATGCCAAGAACTTGCTATCTTCGTCGAGCTCATTAGGGACATATCACGCCTCGGAAGTCTGGACGCATTGAAGAACTTCAATAAGAGTGATAAGAAATAACATCAAACAGGATACCGTGACAACATTGGAGAAAATAACATGATTCATTAATGGCATGATGCACATTGCCCTTGCTCATGTTCCATGTTCCACGTGGAGGGTGGCCAATAGATCCTTGTACAATGAACGAGTTTGATGCAGTAGAAAAGGTTTTCGAATAGATTAGACATTATGGTGGATACGAGCAAGTCTGAGCGAGTTTTGCCTGCCGTATACAGTCGTTCGGATCTCTCCGGCTCTTTCCGAAAGCGAACATTATATAATCTCCGACGTGATCTTCCGATGGAACGTGCCCTCGAGGCTATGCAGGGCTCTGCTTGTTTCATCAACTAAACCTCTTAGTACTAATGCTCTTCATTTCTGGGTATCTCAAGTTGGAACCTCATGGAACCCAGCGGTGGGCGATGACATGGGAGTCAGGAAAATATCGTCTGGGTGCCCAGGGGATCGTATGGTCAGGAACGCGACATGGTAATTTTCCTCCGCATATTATCGTTGAAGCGCTCGACTTTACTTACTAGATAACTTAGTACTTAGTATCGATAACCCCCATAACCCTAAATTCCTCAATTCGGACTCGGGTTGATGTGGCATCTTCCCAAGAGCATATTCGTCAGACACTTCTCTTATCGACTTCCGGAAGGACCGGAACCAAGCGGAGACCTGCGAAGAACTCCAGTTGGTACTTACTACAGTAGGTCACCTGTCACACCTGAGGCATAATACATGCCTAACTGAACTTCATAACGGCACACTCAAGTTGAGCTATCCAGCCTGCCTATTGCCGCAAAACACAGAGAGCTCCTGCGGGCCTCGATTAGCCTTGCGCCCATATAATTATAAACGAGGCTACTCGTAATCAATCGCTGCGCGTCTCGCCTCATTCTTTCTGCCATGTCGGCCACTGGAGAAGAAAAGGCCCATGGAAGCGGATCTGAAACTTCATCTACTGACCAAGTCGAGATCTACGAGCGTCCGAGAGGATGGAGGGGTGTTTACTACCACCCAGCCACACAGGTCTGCTTGGTTGGCGTCGTGTGCTTTATGTGCCCGGGAATGTTTAACGCCCTTACTGGTCTTGGCGCTGCTGGTGCAGTCGATGCAACTACCAGCGCAAACGCGAATTCTGCTCTCTATTCTACTTTTGCATTTTTCGCCTTTTTTTTCTGGGTCAGTCGCCCGCAGTGCTCGGTATCGTATGATCATTTGATTTATCCCTGTTTAGCTCCGTGCACAATGTGGTTGGACCTAGAGTTTGCCTATTGCTCGGAACATGGGGATATTCTCTGTTAATCGGGTCTTACTTGTGAGTCCTGCCTTGCTCTGTCTTTTAGTCCCTAAACAGGATCAAATAGTGCAGCGAGCCTTCATCCCGGTGCAGGCGACTTTGTTGTCGCCGCCGGAGCTATCTTGGGCGTCTGTGCGGCATTGGTATGGACGGCGCAAGGTTCCTTGATGATGGCATACCCGACCGAGGCTCAGAAGGGGACGTTCATTGGTTACTTCTGGGCTATCTTTAACCTAGGAAGTGTCGTAGGCTCCTCGGTGGCCTTCGGGTCGAATTTTAACTCCACGGTAAATTATCTTTGCTGTACATGCTATACGATGTTCATCCACAGAAATCAGGCGAACAAAGTTGGAAACGGAACCTATGTGAGTTCCTCTGTTATTGTGATGAAATTTCTATGGGTTTTTTTTTGATCATATTGTTGAAGATCGGATTTCTGATTCTCTCCCTTACTGGCGTTGTCTTGCCCCTCTTCCTTGCAGACCCATATAAGATGATCCGTACTGACGGAACCAGAGTCGCACCTATCCGTCACCCTTCTTGGAAAACTGAGTTTATCAGTCTATTTGTGGCACTGCAAACGGACCCTTGGATTGTCCTCTTGTTCCCCATGTTCTTCGCCAGCAACTACTTCTACACCTGGCGTGAGTCAAGCATCACAGGAAAATAACACTGCGAGAGGTTGACGTATTTTTCAGAATTCAATGATTATAATGGCGCCCTATTCAACATTCGCACCCGCGGCCTGAACAACTTCGTTTATTGGACTGCTCAGATCTTTGGCTCATTCTTCATCGGTCACTTTGTTCTGGATTTGAGACGGTTCCGTAGACGTGTCCGTGCATTCTTAGGCTGGTCGATTGTAGTAGTCTTGGTTTTTGCTGTTCATCTATGGTCATACTACTACCAATTGTAAGTCGGAAGTCACGGTCCATCTTCTGTCCAACATATGACCCTTAACTCCACAGGACTTATACTCGCGCCTCCGACCCTCCTACAGCCGTCAAGATGGATATCGACGATCCAGGTTACCCTGCACACGTATGGCTCATGATTTTTTATGGTCTCCTCGACTCTATGTGGCAGACAACTGCCTACTGGCTGATGGGCGCTATGTCCAATGACCCCGCAAAGCTCGCCGTGTTCACTGGCTTTTGTAAGACTATTTCACATTGAAGTTACGCAACAGTCCCCAGTTCTAATCGTTCTAAGACAAGTGCTTCCAGTCTGCTGGATCCGCTGTTGTGTGGCGCCTCGATGCTGTGCAAAAACCGTAAAGATGTTTTACTATTTTCAAGAACGTTGTAAACATGGGATTTTTCCTTTACAGATATATGAATATTTTCATTTCTACTTGGGTCCTTGCGGCTGCCGGCATGATATGTGCCTTCCCCTTAGTCTACGCTCGCGTAAAGACTACACGGAGATGGACGATGAGGCTCTGTGAGTTAATTTGTTGCCCTGTTACCTTACGTACTTACTGGTTTCCCCAGGTTGGCCCGACCAAACGTCGAGAAACTTCCTGTACCGTCTCAGAAGAAATAAAGCGACATGTGTTCGCCCAGCAAGAGAGGATGTATTTATGACACACGAACTTGTAATGAGATTTTTGTTGTTTTTGTATCTTCGAGTATCTGTTGTCGTCTTGCTATCAAAAGGAATCGTGCGTTATAGGTGTTGATAGGACACAAATCAATTCTCACACGCTGCCGACAGTGGACAAGGTGAACTTGGTGTCTACCGGTCGGCATCTGGGTTCCTCTTTGGACCTTTGGACTGATGGTCAATAGGTGGTCTCGGTTCGATATCCAGTCGAGTTATGATATAAGTCATCATTGCCGTTCCCAGTCCTTGGAACAATTTAAAACTTGATGAGAATTTGCAGGATTTACATAATAGATTGCGGGCCGGCGCTGGTTATCGACACATTGATTTCTCTCCATCATGGACGTGTGAGTACTTCAGTGCTTGAGCGGAACCCGCTTTACTCTGCTTTACTCAGGCCGCCGCGGCCTGAAAGCCTATGGTACGTACTCGCTTTAAATTTAAACTTTTATACTGAACATACATAGTACACTTGTTCACGACCCAAATTCTTTTGATGAAATAAGGTGCTTTCCCGGTGGATTCCTCTCTCACCTAGGGCACTATCTATGCCCAATGACATACGATAAAAATCTCAAGTTAACCCGTCCGGTATCGAGCCTCCATATTGCGTCCCACGCAGAACACATAACTGATATCTGCAGACGAGTCATTTGATCATGCGCCATATAATTATGAGCGCTCTTGAAATTCGAGTTTTGCGAGGCACGCTTCTTCTTTAAAATTCCTTCGTCAACCAGTGAGGGGGGAAAGGCAAACAAGAGCGGATTCAGATCTAACACTTCAGCTGCTCAACAAGCTGCAGTCTTCAAGCGTCCCGAGGGATATAAAAGTATCTACTATCCACTATCACCCGATCACACAGGTCCACCTAGTGGGCTTTGTCTGCTGTATGTGCCTGGGTATATTCAACGTCCTTGGCGGTCTTGGTCTTGGCGGTCAAGTTGATGCAACTACTAGCGCAGACGCAATCGCCACTCACTATGCTACCCCACCTTTTTTGCCGGGTCAGTCGTACGCACTGCTGGATGTCGCGTCCAAATCTAGACTCTGCCTATTTATCGGAACATGTGGATAGCCTCTATACACTGCTTCCTACATGCTCGTTGGTCTTGTCTTCCATCTTTATTCATTCGGTCGATAGCAACGAACATGCCATGATCTAGTGCAAGTGACTTTGTCGTCGTCACTGCATGGAGCTATCTCAGGTGTCTGTGCTGCATTGATGGTGTCTGTGTTGCATTGATGTGGACAGCGGGATGATGGCGTACCTCACCGAGGCTCAGAAGGGGGCGTTCAAATCAGTTATTTCTGGGCAATCGTTAACCTGGGATCCGTCGGCTCTACAGTGACCTTCGGGACAAATTTTTACTCGACGGTAAACCATCCTTGCTATACAAGCTGTTACTACTTATATAAACAGAAAGCAATTAAGCGAACAAAGTTGTAAACGGAACCCATGTACATAGGCCTCTGTAACCGTGATCAAGTTCTTATGATTGATTAGATCGTACTCATGAAGATCTTATTCCTCATCCTCGCCCTCATTGTGTAGCTCTGCTCATCTTCCTTGTAGATCCATACATGATCCGCACTGACGGAAGCAAAGTCGCGCCTGTCCGCCACCCTTCTTGGAAGCTGAGTGCATCAGTCTATTTGTGGCTCTGAAGAACAGATGCCTGGATGGTTCTCCTGTTTCCTATGTTTTTATTGTCAGCAGCTATTTCTACACGTGGCGTAAGTCAAACATCACAGGGAAACGACCCTGTAAGAGGTTGATGCGTTTTGCAGTACTCAACGATTGTAACGGCGCCTTGTTCAACATCTGCACCCGTAGCCTGAGCAGCTTGGTGTATTATACCGGTTCGGATCTTTGGTTCATTCTTCATCGGTCACTTGGTTCTGGATTTGAAGCGGTTCCGTGCGTTCCTCTGCTGGTCTGGTCGATTGTAGCCGTCTTTGTTTTTGCTATTTATACCTGGGCATACTTTTACCAAAAGTAAGTCGCTATCTACCTCTTGTCAGACACTGAGACATGACAGTGAATTTCAAAGGACCCGTACTCGCGCCTCAGAGCCTCCTACTGCCCTCAAGATAGATATCAATGACCCCGATTACCTGCACACATGTATGGCTCATAATTTTCTATGCTCTTCCTCGACTCTACGTGGCAAACAACTGCCTACTGGCTGATAGGCCCTATGTCCTGCAAAGTTCGCTGGCTTCTGTTCTCACATCGAAGCCACGTAATAGCTCTTGTTCTGATATTCTTCTACAAATGCTTCCACTCTTCTGGATCCGCCAATTGTTTATTCGACGCTCTGCAAGTTGGCAACGGCCGTAACCTTTATTCTTTAACAGATATATGAACATTGTCATTTCTGCTTGGGTCCTAGTTACTGCTCGCATGATGTTCGCCTTCCCTTTGGTCTATGTCCGCGTAAAGAACCACACGGAGATTGATGATGAGGTTTTGTTAGTCCCTCTATGTTGCCTTGCCATCTTACTAACCATATCTACTTACTGGTTTCCTCGGTTTGAATCGACCCAATGTCGACAAACTTCCTGAGCTCATCGAGAAGTAAAATGACACATCGGAGGTTTGGACATTTTACCTCTTGCAAAATTTCAATCAAAAGCAGATCTAGACCTAGCCTGGAACGCTCTAGATTGCATTTAAAATGTGATCTCACTAGTGGCAAAATGTGGTAAAATGTCGAAACCCCCGGTGTGTGACGAGTGGTGTTGGGGCAAGAATGATGGATTTAGTACGCACATTTGATTTCATGCCTTCGAGATTGGTGTTCCGAATGTTAACGTTCATGGTTGCTACGTGGAGTCGTAAATCTGATGCGGATGACCTGGTGATCACAAAATGATTCTCAGAAGCATCTAACATGTACAATGTACAGATGCACCGAACCTTACTCGATAACAGTTTATTTCGCCGGTTTGTTTTCTGTTTGAACAACAAGCAAAGAAAATAAGCCGTGAGGGGTATTGAGCGGGAGTTCATTTGCCAGTTTATGTCATATGTTGTCGGAGTGTGACTGTGCCGAGCCGCCGAAGTGCAAAGATTACCAGCAAAAACAGACCACTGGAATGAAGATGGACAGTAGAAGCTCTCACTCGAGCTTGCCACGTCTCTGTTCTGCAAATGGTCCGTCTACCGCACCTACCGCTGCATCTGCCCTGTCGTCGGCGGTCCAAGGCGGTGACCAATATTAATGCGAGTGACTCAAAAATAGCCATGAGCCGATCCTTAAGAGTCTTTCGCCTGAGGTCTCAGCCGCAGGGAGCGCAACTACGAGACTTTTCAAGAGGTTCGTTGCGGATTCTCTCTTGCTGCTCCGTTGGAGCTGGCGTTGCGGTGATGCACATCATGCACTTACCATATCACGGACTCATCAATTCACTGATGGAGTTATCATGCGCCATGAGTATACTTTACGGCAGTCTCTCGGCAAGTCGGTCAGCTGCTCGTGTTTCACTCTCCGTGACACCAACAGCACACTTGGTTTTCATTTCGTCCTCCACGCTCAAAAAATAAACTGTTATTGAGTAGGATTGGTAACTGATGAATTGAATGCTCAGCGACCTGAGTCTGCTATTACTTTTGTGTTTGGGTTATTACTGTACTGCCTTTGGACTGTGCAGCCTTACTTAGACTACTATAGTACATAGTCACAAGACTTAGTACTCATATCCGAAACCTCCACTAGTCTCGACAGTAGTGACATTCGTGCACTATGTGCTGAGAACAAGCACGAGAAGATAAGGGATCCCATTCGGAATGACATGCATGAGAGACCGTACATGTTCTACATTAACATGATCCACTAGTGGGTGCGCCGGTATCTCCTCATCGGCATTGGGCATGCCATTTTCAGACCGGCCGGTGCACCTTTTGGTGGTAGGCGGCCTTAAAGTATTCTTTGCAGGGATTCAGAGCGCCTCACAGACTTCTTTTCATGATGGCGCGGTCTATCATCGTAATGAAATCGACAGTGAAATCATTTATTCATTTCCGAGTCACGTCTGCTCGAGCCAGTACTTTCGGCGAATGCGGGGTGCAGTAAGTGCACTAGTTCCCTTTGTTGCACATGTCTTTCCTTCGACGGCATTACTTATTTTAGCGCGATCTGTTTCTTACTACAATTGCCTTTGCCACGGGTCTCGATACGCCGTGTGCCACATGGGTCCTTCATACCACATGAGCGCTTGATAACACATTATAAGAATCACTGGCCCGATGAACTTCCTCGTCTTGTTGCCGTCTACATCTTGTAATCACCATGTCTGACGGGCAAGCAGAAATCGATAAACTTGGCAGCGGCAGCAGCGAGGATTCTGGTTCTCAGCGCGCAGAAATCTTTGACCGTCCGACAGGATGGAGGGGATTTTACTACCACCCCATCACACAGATTTCGCTGTTGGGATTCGTGTGTTTCATGTGCCCCGGCATGTTTAACGCACTTGGTGGCCTCGGTGGTGGAGGCCAAGTTAATCCTAAGGACCAGGCCAACGCCAACGCGGGCGTGTACTCGACTTTTGCGTTTTTCGGGTTCTTTTCCGGGTAAGGCAAAGTCATCACTGTCACTTTTACCTATAGTGATTAACATTGTTGTTGCAGTTCGATTAACAATGTGATTGGTCCTCGAAAGACTCTGATGTTTGGCACCTGGGGCTACTCGTTGTATATTGCTTCCTTCCTGTAAGGCGCCTTATCATTCGATCAATAGTTATTCTCATACATTGTCCTTTAGCGCTGTCAACATTCATCCTGGTGCGGGTGCTTTTGTTGTTGCATCCGGTGCCATCCTCGGCGTCTGTGCGGCCTTTCTTTGGACCGCGCAGGGCTCGCTGATGATGTCATACCCCACTGAGGCTCAGAAAGGCATGTTCATCAGTATCTTTTGGGCCATCTTCAACCTTGGAGGTGTTGTCGGGTCTGCTGTTGCGTTTGGACTCAATTTCAAGAGTACGGTGGGTGAAGTGTTATATTTGTGAATATGTGGACACTCATATCCTCCACTGAAAGGCCAACAGCGGTAAGGGGTACAATATTGCTATCTCAGCGCGGAACTGACTCATTTTGTTGTGTCCAGTTGGCAATGGAACATATGTAAGTCATTTGATCCGTTATTGCTAACAGAAATTGACGGTTCATTAGATTGGCTTCTTGATTCTGACTCTCATCGGTGTATTTCTCCCGCTGTTCATGGCGGACCCAGACAAAATGGTCCGCACAGACGGAACTCGCGTGAACCTGGTCCGCCACCCATCCTGGAAGACGGAGTTTTTAAGTCTATTCATAGCCCTGAAGACCGACCCTTGGATTATACTCCTCTTTCCGATGTTCCTTGCCAGCAATTACTTCTACACCTGGCGTTCGTATATTCCTTCTTAGGATCAGTGTGGTTACTGATAAGTCATACAGAATTCAATGATTACAATGGCGCATTATTCACCATCCGTGCTCGGGGTCTCAACAACTTCATGTACTGGACATCACAGATCTTTGGATCCATCTTCATTGGTTACTTTGTCCTTGACCAGCAGAAGGTCCGGCGCAGAGTCCGTGCCTTCTACGGCTGGGCCCTCGTGTTCCTCATGATTTTCGTTGTCCACGTCTGGGCATACTTTTACCAAAAGTAAGTCATCTTACCGCACCGCACGTCCAAATTCACATCAATGCGATCCTTAGGACATATACCCGCACTGAGGAGCTTGCGGAAGGTGCTTACAAAATCGATATCTACGACTCAAACTACGCTGCCCATGTCTGGCTCATGATCTTCTATGGATTCCTGGATTCGATGTGGCAGACATATGCATACTGGCTGATGGGCGCAATGTCGAACGACCCTGCCAAGCTTGCCGTGTTCACGGGCTTCTGTGCGTATCGACCTTGAATCGGAAGTACAAGTTCGATACTGATCAAGAACCCACACAGACAAGTGCATGCAATCAGCGGGTGCAGCAAGTGTCTGGGCTGCCGATGGTGCTAGTGCCCCGTAAGTTTATTATCCCCCCTTTTTGCGAACAAACCGCTGAATCGATGATCGATGTTTTCAGATACATGAACATTTTCCTATCAACGTGGTGTCTCACAGTTGCTGGCATGATCTTCGCCGCACCGATGGTGTACCTTCGCGTCACTGACCACACGGATATTGAGGATGAGGTTTTGTGAGTGTTCATGATGACTGATGGACCTGTCACTGGTGTTGACCTCTATGGCAGGATGCACATTGAGGGCGTGGAACGGATCGAGCCCCCATTGATTACGACGACGGAAAAGGCGTAATATCATGATACTAATGTACAAGTTGGTCACGAACAGCTCGATGCTTTGATTATTATCTTTTGTTTTTCATGGTAGGGTACTTGACGAACAACAACTTGTCTTTAGTTTGCTGCATACTTAATGGTGATTCTGCTGTCATTTCAAGTTGAAGATTCAGGTCCGAGTCATCCCCTCGTGCTTGGTCGTAGGGACTATATACTGAACAAACTGTGCTCCTGCTGAATAATGTATGTAAATCTAGACTGCAATGATGAGTTACTAGCAAGATTGCAAGATTGCGACGTCACAGTCAGCAAGGGATCGTGGCATAAGTTGTTGAACAGGTTCATTTGTTCGTAACTTAACTTTTCCTTGTCAAAGCAATTCATGCCTTTATCGTGAGATGTAGCACTGGCACTAGTTATCAAATATATATGAACATTGCAGGCTGCAACGATGCAATGACATCGCACCGTTACAGCCTAAAAGTGAGTGGTAGCATCAGGAAATCGGCCATGAGATGATTTTGATAGATATTTTTGGCAAAATCAGATCAAATATCCTCATATTATATCCAAAATTTTAGTGTTGCCGCAACTCGGTTAACAGTGAGCCGGTTCCGACTGTATCCAGTTTGGGTGTCGGTTCAGTAAGCCATTCCCACGACTCGGTCTGGCTTCGCTGACCGGCTATAACCATGTGAATGCACAGACCGGCTTGAACTGGTTTGGAGCCGGCTCAAAACTGACTTCAAGTTGAAAATCATATTTAAGATGAATAGCTGCATGGTGTAAAAGTACTAAGACAACTCCTAAACACATTTCTTCTTTACAAAATGGGATATGAGCTCTGGTGGAGGAGTTGCGATACTCCTTCGCAACACCAAAATTGATGAGAAAGGCGGTGTGCTTCAAATCTTCTAGACTGATTAGTGATGTTCCAGCCCAGCTTGGGCTCAAAGCCCCGGCTTAGGCTTGGCCTGGAGGGGCTTAGGCTTGCCAGAATTCATGCCCAGTGAAAGCTGGCTGTGATGGGAGTGGGCAGTGTATGATGAGATGTGATTTGGCTAGCGGTCGTTGAAAAAAACACTCAAGGTGATATTTATCAAGTAAGATGAGAATCATATCATATTTGCAATATTACGGGGCAAAGTCTCTGATGCTCCCATATGATTCGAGCACACCAGGTTCATATCAGCGCATATACACGTGCACTCTGGCTGCCCTCGCAGAATATGCTCTAATAGTGTAGGATATTATTATATCGCACATCTACAATTGCCTGGGATATCATAGGTACACAGTAATAGACGTAGTGGGGGATGCTACAGCTCGAAAACTGACGAAAAAATGTTGCAAGCATGATGAAGACGAGCCGATAATGCAGCGGACGGATCGAAAAGCGAATGAGCAGAATATGTGTTGAAAACGGGTTGAAAACAGAGCCTAGTACATCTCGCCTTGCCCGACAGTCTTGTCCCATTTGTCGGTGGCAACCTATGAAAATTTCATCCGACTCGTCAGTATAGTAAATACTATCAGATAGCGACTTACAAGTTCAGCAGCCTCTTTATCGTAAGCCTAATATAATGTGAAGATGAATATAGGAGCAAGAGGGCCAAAGAAGACATACCGTGCGCTGATTCTCAGCAAGGCCCATATAATATACACCAAACTCGTCAGTCGTCCCATTCGTTTTGATCTGTTTGAGCCAGCGATGGGCACATAAGTTACTGTAGTGTATAGTAGTAAGTGTCGAGCTCTATGAAACGGTGATATGCTTACCGTCCATTCTTTGTTTGACTTGGACGCATCTTCCCCTTGGCTTTCTTTGGCTTCGACAATGGCTCAGCAGTGCTTGTGGTCGCCTTTTGGACTGCGCACCCGAGCACAGGATTGACTACTACTGGTGGAGATGGAGGTGGTGGGAACTGCATGTTTGCGGCACATAGAGCGAGTGTAGAACTGCTGACTTGTGTTAGTAGCGAATATAGCCAGACATTTGAACTCACAGTGGATTCATAATCGTAATTTTAACAGGTTTTGGTGCAGGAATCGTTTGGCTTTCGGTAGGGATATTCTTGTCTGCATTAGACACAACATCGAGTGAAGTAATAGCATCCACAGTTGCGATTGACTGAATGAGAGGCAATGGAGATCCAAGAGCAGGCGTTGGAGATTCGAGAGCAGGCGTCGGAGATTCGAGAGCAGACATCAGAGATTCGAGAGCAGGAGTCAGAGATTTGAGAGCAGGCGGCAGAGATTCGAGAGCAAGCGACACATATTCGAGAGCAGGCGATGGAGATCGGAGAGCAGGCGACGGAGATCGGAGAGCAGGCAACAGAGATCGGAGAGCAGGCATTGGAGATTTGAGAGCAAGCGACACATATTTGAGAGCAGGCGACGGAGATCTGAGAGCAAGCAACGGAGATTTGAGAGCAGGTGTCAGAGATCTGAGAGCAGGTGGTGGAGATGGGGACGATAGGGACATGACATGATGTGTTTTTGAAGTAGGAGTAACTAAGATATAATTGCGTTAATGTGGTATTTAAATCAAGATAATGACGAACTTTTTCTTTTCTTTTTCATCCCTTCGCATTTAACTGAATTGATTGTCTGCTTTCGTTTTGTCCCCTTACTGCCTTCTCCATCACTCTCAGCACATTTGTTATCGATGTCATCGTTATCGTCCTCCTTTTGATGTTACCCCGCCTGACTTCCAGTCACAATTGGTGTCAAGATTGTTTCGGCGCCAGGCAGGGTATGTCGTAGTAGCAAGGTGATCTAGTTTCCATCCGTTGTTAGCAAGTTTGAAAAGGGGAAACTTGTTCTCCATGAAGTTATGGATCAATTGTCTTCCAGATGCTGATAGTTTACCCCAAGAATGCGGGGTGATCTTGCGAGTAACAAGCTCGCTCCAGCCACCACGGAGCACCCTTCGTATGGCTTTGATTGTTCGTGACGAGACCGTGCGGCCATTTTCGTCTTCAAGATAGACCAGGTTTGTGTGTGAAGAGTGGTGACCTTGACCCGCAGGAGTGTCACACCACTTATGAAAATCGGCCTGTTCCCAGAAACGGACATTCGGATGTGTAGTGCGTGATGGTCGATTAGAGTTGGAAATGAGTGGCGCATTGAGCTGCAGAGGGTCAGCCTGTTGAAGCCTTCCAGTACTACTGGCAAGCCGTTCAAACATCTCCCTGCCATGTGATGAAGTTAGCTGAATCTCCCTTACAAAAATAAACTTACTTGATGGAGTCACGCTCGGTAGTCAATTTGACCACCTCCAGCTCTAAAGTCTTACAACAGTCTTGTAGGACCGATATTTGCTGGTGATCATGGATATATGCACCCTAAAAATATATTTCTGGTGCGACAAACATATAATGGGCACTTACTTGGTGGAAGCGTTGTGCATGCGAAGTGCCTGATTCGAAAGGGTCCTCTGGTAATGGTGTAGCGCCAGATAGGGGGGATGGAGTGAAATCCCCTCCCCACCGAGGATTTTGTAATAAATTCTGACCTGATGGAGGAAAGTTGAATTGCCTGTGCCCGCCATGAGAAAATGAGCTGCTCTCAAACATATTAGACAGTCGATACGGTGGAGAGATTCAAGAGAAAGACGCCATGCATACCATGAGACCAGTAATATTACCTTGAAACTCCGCCGGAATTGTCCGCCAAGCCTCAAAATTATCTACTAAGTCCTATCAAGTTGGCGCAGTGTGTACCTTCATTTCACTTACTTCCTTCCATGTCGAATGCAACAATCAGTGTGCTTGGTAGCGTCGGCCTCATTGAGATTAGTGGTGATGTCTCTTCATGGGACATGTACTGCTTTGATCTAGAAATACCGACTCACCTTGAAGTGAGGTTTCTTTTTTGTTGCTGATACCTTTCTTATCCGATATGTTGCAGAGGATTGTTTTTCGTATCAAGGACTCGGACATCACAAAGTCACTACCAAGCCTGTCGGATATGATGTATGTTCTATTTCAAACGACTGTAGACTCATATTGACATCTAAGACAGCAAGAATCAATCAATTCAATCCACCAGTGACAAGATCAAGAGTGAAGATACTAACAAAGCTGAGAGACTCATGACTGCGAGCGCAGTGGGAGATGATATGAAGATCAAGGTAGATGAGATAGAGCAAATAAAAGTAGAGGTCGAGGAAGGCAAAGAACCCACTTCCATGTGCGTCCTTTTGTATTTGTAATGCTTCGACTGACATGATGTTGAAGGGATTCCCCAGTTTACCCTTGCCGTCTACTTACTAGGCTTTATGGAAATCCAAACCAGGACCCGCTCGACCCATTTCGGCCATGGCACTATTCAGTTCGACCTTTTTACCACTTGGAAATAGCAGCAGAAGTGGCTAAAAAAAGGGCCCTCTATCAGCAGATCCGTGATGAAATGTACGATGAACATCAGATTTTTTCCAAGGCACTGTTGTGAATTCTTCCTGTCCTCTGCTTTGCACATGCTCGCTTTGCTTTACTTGCACGCCTTTCCTTTCCACCTGACCACTCGTTTCCAATGTTGTACTTGCACGTTTTTTCCATAGTTGCTCATCACAGATACATTGCATTGTACTGTAATATGATACTGTTAGACAGTCGCCGTATACCTGTAATACCTGTAATCAATAATCTTGAAGCTGTATCATGCGCAGGAAAAGGCTTCGAGTTGCAAGAATTATCATGAAGTACTAGTTACGACAATGAAACTACTCAAGATCAGCACCATTGTCATTATCATCATCCTCTAGCTCATCACCACCTCCAATATCAAAACCAGAATATGGTACTCCCAGGTTCGATATTTCTAGACCAGGCCACTCCATCATAAAAAAGCGGCTCTCTGTAACTCCAGAAGGCAATGTCGGTTCGTGCGGGACCATTGCGATAACGCTAACAATATTTTTGACATCAATTGCCAGAATATCATCAAGGAGTGTGCAGGATATGAGGGTCTGCGATGAGAGTTTGAGGAGTTCTTTGTGCGGCATGGAGTACATCTGCACGACTGCAACATTCTCGAAGTGCCATTCATTGTCATCATCCGAGTTGTCTGCGTTCTGTCCGGCGACGTTAACTGGCAGCTGTGTGTAGTACAAAACCTCAGTGAATTGAATTTTATTGTTAAGTTTTATCTATTAATTGAAGTTAGTAAAGCTGACAACAACAAGCCGACGTTTCGAAATATACCTTGACATTGCGTGACATGCGCGTCTTCTCAAGGGGTTTGAGTTTTTCTCTCCACGATGAACGTGCCGTCTGTCCATTTGGTAACCGAAGTCGTGCCCACTTGCGTATACGAGGGAGTTGTTGTCCATGGCGAAGAAAGGCTGTGATAGCGAGTGCATGTTGCCCAGTGGGGCAGATTGGGTACCTCTCTCGTTTTCGCAACAACACATACCCATCTCCAACATCAACGGCACCTTCTGGAAGGCCCTTGGGTGGCTCATCTAATTCAGGCATCATCGAAAGAAGAGTGTTGATTCTACAACGCCGAACTCCTTGTTGCGAGAGGTTAGCATATGGTTGCGACGGCTGTCGAATCTCTTGACCAAGATTCCCGATGGTTCGCTCCATCGTCCACTGAGCATAGCAGATCGGCGGACCTTTCTGTACAGTTTCTTGAGCGAGATGATTTGTTTGATGAATGCACGGGTGCACAAAATGGAGCCGATACTCTTTGTGTTGATAGTAGAGGTGCTCGAATTCTTGTTCCCAATAGCATAGCAGCGATTGAGCATGTTGAAGGTCTTCAACTGTGATGCGATATTGACACAGTAGCTGGAATCCGCGCACAAGTTTGCAATAATTTTGCCAATATTTCATCGGAAGCAATCCATATAGAAGTGCAGGTGCGAGGCCGAACATATAAAGCTGAAATTCCCATGTTTTGTAACTCGTGTTGAGTTTTTCAGCAATATTGCGGGGTTTGCGATCAAAGGAACCTGGTAGGTATACACCTGCTTTCTCGACAGCTTCACCATGAGCGATCCAAGTGTCTTCATCTTTCAGAACAGCCCAATCCCAGGTGGCTGGATTATCGGCAGCTGCGCAGTCTATGGTTGCGCGCCACAGACTGAGGAGAAGGTCGCTAAGATTGCCAGCTAGATGCATAATATCGGGAGTCATACAGTAAGGAACACCGAGGGACTGTGAAGGGCTGAGACCGAGGATAAGCGGAGGTTTGGTTATTCCCGTGTCTGTCCTCCTTTTCTCCCATTGTCGCGTGTTGGGTGCCTTGACAAGTTCTTCGAGATTTTCAGCATAGCCTTCAGATGCCCCGAGAGGAAGATCGAAGACATTGAGGTCAGGATGATCGCTACCACGAGCACAACGGTCCGCTGGCCTGAGCAATGCAGGATAATAGTGGCTACCGCCAGTCTTACGTCTCCCTCTCACCCCACAATATAGACGGCACCCATTTTTACCACTATGCCCGACCATTCCATCCCAATAGACGAGTCCAGGGCCATCGGCAGTTGTGAAAAGGAGATGGAGGTCAGATGTGAAAACAGTGTCGCGGGATGCATCCCAGATCGTAAGACCATTCTTCTGAAGGGCGGCAAGGTGGTGCATCCCGACAAAGAGGAATGAATCCAAGTTTTTGGGCTTATTTGGCCCGGGTATAAAACCACCTGGCCGTACATGCACTTTCTGGTAGCGCTTGTCAGGCGATAGATTGAGAATGATCCATACATACATCCAACAGTCGGACTGCTTGCTTTCGTAAAGCTGTGCGCCATCGAGTGACACCATGAGGACAATATCATCCTGCTTGATATCATTGGCAAGTACTGCGGCGAGGTAATCCCAACCTGCAGCAATGTCGTCAATTACAGGAATGGATTGCGTAGCCCTTAATTGTGCAAGGATCTGTTGCGTGTGTTCATGAAGGTACTGCATATGGCGCGTGCTGTCGGGATCACGATACATGGCCTGCAACTGGGGACCAAGCAGAATGGTTGTGAATTTCTGAGCCGCGACCTTGCTGCGGCCATTGGTTGCTCGCAGCTTTCCCTGGTCCCAGCGTGATTTATCGCACAGAGGACAGATCTCAAGTGCTGCATATGGGCCTGTGAATGCCAAACACGAATCGGGACACATATCATGTTCAATTGACTCGACACCAGTGTACTGCGCAACGAGCTTTTCAACATTATAAAAGCTCAGGATACTGTCTTCATCGTCATGAGCGTAATTGCGTATTGTTGCTCTTCATATACGATTATAAGCTTCTTGAGATGCAAGCTGCAACGATAGGTACATGGCAATACTTTGACGTGTTCCTGGATTGTCGATGTTGATAGGACCCCTGGGTGGATTACGCAGTCGTTCGATTGCATCGTCGCTTAGCTTGGTAATAGGGTCATCTAGTGATGCATGCTTTAGAGCAAGGATGAAGTCGAAGGTTTCCCTGATTTTAGGGAGCACTGCACTCTCCGCAAGCACATCAATATTAATATTTGGTCGAGGTCTGCGCTCAATGTCTATTGCAGGTGGAGATAGGGCGCGTCCATCCACGTCAACATCTGGAGGGGGAGATGGGCCTCATCCATCTGCATCAACGTCTGGAGGGGGAGATGGGCCTCGTCCATCCGTATTAACGTCTGGAGGGGGAGATGGGCCTCGTCCGTCCGTAATAACGTCCGGAGGGGGAGATGGGGCTTGTCCGTCCACGTCAACATCTGGAGGGGGAGATGGGCCTTGTCCATCCATATTAACGTCTGGAGGGGGAGGGGAAAAATTGTCTTGAGAACGGGGGGAGAAATCATCTGGAGGCTTTAATGCAGTTTTTAGAAATGATCATTTGATCGATTTGGTGAAAATCTACATACCAAAGCTTCAGCATGGTCAACTGGGTCAGGCTTCGTGATCCGAGCACGCTTGCGACGCCCAATTCTCCAAGCAGCGTCATCATCATCTTGCTGTGTTGTGCGTGGAAGTACGTCCATCACAATATCACTGTGAACGTTCAGGGGTGCTGAAATGTTGCGGGGCGACGCTTCCTGAAGCAATACTAGCAACAGTAGAGCCAGGGATATGACTCGGAGGTGGCAAGCTACCACCTCGTAACACTCTTCCAGATCGAATATGTTCTTTCTCCTCTTGCGTACCAGCGTCATGCAGATGTCGGTACCAGGTTGCTACTGAAACAACATGGGAAACCCCATATTTCTTGCAGACACACACACATTGACCAGTGTCATCGAGCTGCTCCACACTTGGAATCGGAAACATCTTAATGAAATGAGTATGATACTTAGTTGGCCCAAATTCAATTGATGGTAACATACCTTGCAACTTGTATAACAATGTGACGGCACACCAGACTATCACACCAAGACAATGCCCAAGACTTTGAGACTTTCCTTCCGATGCCAGCTCCACCTAATTATGCCGTTTGCCACCCAGTACACCAAAGGCAGTTACTAGGCAAGGTGGGTAGAGCTGCACGGCAATGAGTGGCACTGGACTTGGACGCAATACGAGATGCGATGCAATGTTTGTGCGATACAATTTGCGTGATATGCGATACAATATGTTGAATTACGAAGGTGTGCGATGCAGAATACGAAGGTGCGATACAATATGTTGAATACGAAGGTGTGCGATGCAGAATACGAAGGTGCGCGATGCAAACGTTATGCGTTGTGATCAGGTTGTGCGAAGATTGCATTACTCATCAGAAGGAAGCACATTCTGACATAGTACGAAAATGGTAATTCACATCTCATCATACACCGCCTGTTCCCATCACAGCCAGCTTTCACTGGGATTCATGCCTGAGCCGTGAGCCCAGGCCGGCTGAAAGCCGGGGCTTGGGCCTAAGCAAGCCACAGCCCACGCGCTGAATTTCTGCGATGGCGGAACAAGTGAGTGCGCAGATGCAAGTATATACATAGTACATACATATATATAGTCTTTGCTGGTCCCGAGTTGCGTGTCCTGTGTGACAGAAAGGTGAGCTTGCAGAAACAAGTAAAAACATGCAAACAAGCACAGAGGTGGAGTGCAGACAAGTGCAGGCATGCACAAACATTAGCAGAGAAGTAAGGAGCATGTGATCAGTTAGTTATAAATATCATCAATCGAAAAATTGAACCTATTGTGCAACTTGAGGCTCTTGCTGTGAGTTTGAAGGGGCATACAGACCACTAGTGTGATGCTGATATGCTGTAGAACTAGATTAGCGTTTAATGAATGTTATGCGATGTGGAAATCACAACCTGACTAGATACCTGTAAAAGTACTTAGCCAGTATATTAGGTCTTAGCTCTGCCTAGCTGCTTCACTTGCGAGCAAGAGCGTTCGACCCTAAAGGGGTCTGCTGTCTAGTTAAGTTGAAATAAGTCAGTACCACACAAGGAATAAAACCCGAAGGTAGAAAGGTCGAGTCCGATGATAGGAGATGAAGTCCGACGTAGGGGATACTGAGTCCGACGTTTCGGGGATCAGGGGAGGACAGGAAAGCAAGAGAGGAGATGGGAAAAGTGCGGGTTTATAATTGAAACGCAAAGGAATGCTTAGGAAAATGAGCGACTGAGGTTCAGATCATAAGGAGAGGGAATCAGGTATATTCAGCAGTTATAGGGGATAGGGACTAGGTAGGGTGACCAGTATCAGGGAATTTCTCCCATCTACAAATTGGTAAGGTATGATCACCTATGAAGTCCTATTTAACTAGCTACGTGAGAGTCCGGGATACA